ATAAATAACTACTGTACTAAAACTAGACTATATTAAAATAAAAAAACTTAGATCTTGTTTACTTATCTACCCAGACTAAAAAAAACTCTAAACTTAGAACAGCTAAAAAAAATCCTAAATTTAATAAATATAAAATATTTCTAAATCTTAAATAACTATCTATATAAAAAAAATCTAAAAAAAAATTTTCCAGGAACACCCTAGCCCTAATAATCTAATTTTAAAATAGTATTATTTTTAAAAATAAATAAGATTTACTACTGCTACCAGAAATCTAAAATACTTTATAAAATATATATAAAAAAAACAAACAAGTACAAGACATACTAAAAATACTAATAATTAATAAAAATTATTATCTAGGCATCCTCCTAGCCTCTTATAAAAAAAAAAAGATCTACTATTTTATAAAAACTATCTCTAGATCCTTAACCACGATGATTTAAAAGTTAAATTAACTTGATTAGCGCATGATAAACTATTTTTAGAATACTTTAGAAAATTCTATATATATAAACTCTTAGTTTAAGAATATTACTAGCCCAATCTCTACTGCTATATAAAATAATAAATAAAAAACTATTATATTTATCACTATATTATTCTATTCTAAAAAATTAAATAAAGTATTTTAAAACCTCTATCAGTCCCTGAGCGTGCTTAGTAAAATATATTTATAGATTTTATTATATATCTATCTGAGAGCTAAGGGCACAATACTATACTAGTAATTATTAATAAATTTATTAAAATAAAATATTTAATATTCTGTAATTCTACTGTTAATATTACTAGAATAATTATAATATATATACAGTATATATAGAAGTTATATAATCTTTTCTATTTTATAGTCTCTAACCAAGGCCTCTAGTTTATGGTTGAATTTTAGAAATATTTAATCTAATACTTAAATATTATTAGCTAATTATTAACTATCTACTATCTTAAAACCGATGGTCAGACAAAATAAGTAAATATTATATTAAAGTAGTATCTCTATATTTATATAAATTATTTATAAGATAACTAGAGTATCTGGCTCCCCTTAGCTAAGTTTACTTTAAATATTATATATTCTAATATTATTAAAATTATATTATTCTTTACTAATTACAGCTTCTATCCATAAATAAGATTTAAATCTATATCTATTTTTAATTAACTTACTACTAAAGATGTAGAGCAATTTACTATAAAGATATATACTATTATAGAATTTATAAGAGCTAAAATAGTTATAGTCTAAACTAAATATGTAGAATAAACTAATAAAAAATATTATCCCAGCCAGAGATTCCAAAAAAATTAGAAGATCTAGCTAGATACTTGATTTATTAAGACTCTACGACTCAGTAAGAAACTTAACTAAAATATTCTAAATCTATATTTAATTAGAGAAATTATTAATTTTTATATATACTACCTGAAACTCCTACCAAGCATAAAAATCTATCTAATATTTAATATAAATTTACTTATCTCTATTAATAATAATCTATTATTTAAATAATACTAGCCTCCTCTCTCTCATATCAAGATTAACAGACTTGAGGAGTAGAAAATTAAAAATATATTAGACTTTTTTTAAAACTACTAGAGACAAGGCCGCCTCCAATTAATATATCTTATTAAGTAAATAAAATATACTAATCCTATTACTAAACCTGTGAAATACCTGGAGAATACCTACTAGATTATTAAGAATTTTTATTACTATTATTTATATAAATCCCAATCTTCGCCTTATAGAAACTTAATTTAAAGAGAAAAAAAATATTATCACAGTGCAATCTTCCAAGCTAGAAAGAAAGAAATATTACTAAAACCTATTATTCTAGTACGTGACTCTAGATACAGTTAAAAGCTATCTACCCTCTAAACCCTGCTCGTAGCTTTGAGCTATGTCTTGTCTATTATCTTGTATATAACTTGACCAGTAGCCAGCTCAGTATCCAGTTAGAATCCTAATTATTGTTATTACCCGAGTCCTGCCCGCCTGCCAGAACCTGCTATCCTACCACCCCTGCCTGCCCGCACCTTGACACTAGGCTATATATTCTAGTACTATGTTATTATAATAGATCTTTAATTTATATATATACTAGTCAAGAAAAATTTATATTAGTTTATATATATCTTGTACCATGAAGCTCTAGACTATTTATTTAAAATTTTTTTAAAATATGTAGTGATTAATTATATATAATAAAAATACTAGTAAACTATAGACAGGAGTACTATAAATAAAATAAATAAATAATATAAAATTTTTACTAAACAGCTCTAATAGTAAAATTATCTTTAAATAATCTAGATTCTACCCATAGCTAATAGAGTTATAATTATTAATAAATAGTAAGGACCGGTGAACTTACTATATAAACTATTATTAATAAAAAGATAAATTAGAACTGTAGAAAATAGATATATTTATATATATTTAATCTAAGTTTTTTAGTATGTTATCAGCACTAGTAAGTGCTTATAGAATATCTATTTAGTATTTTTATTATAAAGTAATAATCTAAAGTATAGCCTAATCTAATTAGAGTATTTTTTATATTATAAAGAACTACGCGATCTTGATTACACTAGATAAAATTAGAAAATAATTATTATATATATATTATTTATTCTTACTATGGTCTAAGATAGTTATAATATATATTAGTATACTTTTATACTCATAACTCTACTAATACTAGTTAAATAATTCTATATAGAATTCTAGATATATTTATTTCTATTATATTATTAGTTATAGATACTACTCATTATTAATAATCCTTTTTATATTATCTATTTATACTGCTTATTAAAGTGTATATTATCTCTGATACTACCGCGGTATAAAATTATAAAATAAATTTATCTAATTACGAGGTATCTATATTTAAGTAAAAAAAATTAGAATTTATTACTAGAAATATATGTACTTTATAATATTATTTTTATTTATATATTTTAATAATAATCAGTACGGTAGCTCTATTTATTATATATAAATTATCTCTATTTAAATTACTATATTATAGTACTGTATTATCTGCTAGTTTTTCTATATAATTTAATTAATTATCTATTAAAGTATTTAGATAGTCTTTTCTATAAGATTATTAATTTTAATAGATAGGCACCGGGCGCGCTACTATAGTTATAATAAGAATATCTTATTATTAAAAATATCTATATCCTATAAAATAATCTATTAGAGGCCTTGTGTTATATTAATAAAGTCTAAAAATATTATATTATATAAAATATCATAAAAATAGATATTTTATAGATATATTACTTACTACGTCATACGTAACTAGGGATTAGTATTAATAATTAATTTATATTAAATTAATATCTAGACTTACTTGTATTCTGATTTCTTTTATATTTAAATAATAATATTAATAGTTTATTATATCTAGCTGGGCGCTAGTGTAGGGGATTACTAGCTATTAGAAAATTAGATATAGATATTGTTGGAAAATCAGAGAACGCTAAACCTAAAAAGGAAATTCCTAATCAGGTCTAGTATCTTCTGAATACAATTGACTAAAGTAGTCAAAGGGAAGGATTCAATTTGAGTTTCCTAAATAGGAAATAAAAAGTGATCAAATTTGATCAAAGAAATGATTCTGAATTGAATTCACTGAATCGTCTGTGAATCGCTTGAGGAGAAAATGAAGTGAATGAATGAGAATTAAGGCTGTATTTATGTTCATTCACTTGTCAAGCAGAATGATCATGAATCAGGCCTAGATCAGTGTGCTTTGAAATCAAAATGAGGCAGTGCAACATCAAACCAGGGTTGAATGGGGCAGTGTAGTGAATGTGATCATAAAATGACTTCATATAAGCGGGGTAAAGCGGGGTAATAGCGGGGTAATCACTTGGTTGGCTGGGAAACCGGCCCATAAAAGTCAAGTTATCGGAGATTGCCGATTTCTGCGGAGATGGCCGATTTCTGCATAGATTCCTGCAGAGATGAGCAATTGACGGTTTGATTAACCAGTTGACATGCTGAATTTGGCCAGTTGATGAATTAGGCATTCCAGCCGACATATAATATAATCTTATATAGATAGGGAAGAATTTTTGGTAAAAAATTTATTCAAAATTTTTGGTAAAAAATTTATTCAAAATTTTTTTTAAATATTATTATCTAATATAATTTTTAGAGATATTATAGCTTATTCCAGATTCGCATACTGGAACTATTAATAGATAAGTTACTAATATTTTTATATAAATTTTATATTAAATACTAAATACTAGCAGGTGGAAGGATCACGCTAATATAATATTCTATTAAAATAGTAGAAAATAATTAAAAAGAGCTTATCCAGCATCTAGGAAATTTATATATCTTAATAATTTAGTATTAGACTAGGCTATTAATAAATTATTTATACTATCTATTTTATAGTCTAATAATCCAGCTAGATAGGAGTAGTAGAATAGTAAATTCTAGTAAATAGATAAAACTTAGATAATAATAATAACTAGAATTCTAATTAAATACTAAACTGGCTACTGGTCAAGTTATATACAGGATGATAGATAAGATATAGCTTAAAGCTACGAACAGGGTTCAGGGGGCAGGTGGCTTTTAACTGTGTCTAGGATCACGTGCTGGGGCGGTAAGTCTTGGCAGTATTCCTCTCTTCCCGGCTTGGGAGGTTGCACCGTGATATGATAAGAGTTATTAATTTTGACTAATCTGTTTATAACATAGAAAGTAGTTATTAAATTCAAACTTTAAAAATTTATAATTAAGTAGTGAAGCTATCTACTATCAAATTTTTAGATTTTTATGATCTATAGTTTGTAAGGACACTGTACTCTAAAAATTAATTCTATTATATTCTATACTAAGACTTTTCTTCCATATAAACTACCCGTACCCTAATTCCGCCGCATATGCGATCCCCCAACCCCAGTGGGTTAGCGTGCTGGATGTCTCAGTCTATGCTCTTAGTAGCCTCTTCGTGGTGATGGTAATGGATCCCACCGATCTCCACCAGGTGCCCTCCATCAAGGAGTTGGCTGGGATCTATGTTGCGGAGATCAAGCGGCAACAGGCCACAGGACCATACACCCTGGGTGGCTATTCGTTCGGTGGGGTGGTGGCCTTTGAGGCGGCGCGCCAGCTGCTGGAGGAAGGCGATATTATAGAGCAAATAATACTAATCGACTCAGCAACTCCGACCTTCGCCTACTCTATGCCTTTCGAACTCATACAATTCTTGGATGCTATTGATGCTATAAATAATCGCGGCCATGGGCCCGTGGGGGCCAGCACTTACTTCACCTTAGTCTGGGAGCAGCTGCGCCGGTACCGCGTGCGTCCGCTGCCAGGACCGACCAAGGGCGTCATCCAGGACATGGTGCTCTTCTCGGCGCGCGAGGGTGTAAATAAACAGGACTTGGTCCCGCGGCCTCAGATGCGGCGCGCTGAACAAAGTATTGTGGATTGGTTCTTGGATGATCGGACGGATGATAGTGCGCTGGGGTGGGAAGAATTGCTGGATAATGTGAGAGTGGTTCGTACTGAGGGTAATCACTTTTCTATGATGATGACGCCGTGGGTAGATTCATGGGGTCCGAAATTGGCAAATGTCTTGGTTGGCTAGGGTACATGGTATGGCTGCTTGATAGAGATTCTATCTACATCTTCGATAATCTGAACTAACAGTATTTCGCTGCAATATATTATGGTTAGATTCTATAATTGCGTTCATAGTCTCCCTCATTATGTATAAATTGTTGAGTTGCATTTGCATCCAGCCAACTACAAATTAAGATGCATTGGTTTTATCTATATGTAGCACTAAGCTTGTCTACATACTATCACTTTGTGATCGCTAGTATTTTGTCAGGGAGGTGGGCACCGTTTGATGGTCCTAGAGGTTATTAAAGTAATTTGGCTAATAGGTACTATGTACTATATATATTGATGAATTCCTTTTTATGTAAACCTGTTATCATCCCATATCTTGCAATTAGACTAAATATTTGGAAGGAAGTATTGAGAGAATAATATAAACATGGGTGGGATACAATTAAAGGTTTCAAAGCATACGATTCGCGTCGTTCTGCTTCTAGTAAAGTAAGAAAAAAAAATGTCAGGTCTGGCCGTATTGAAATGTTCGTCGATGTACCCCGTCCTGGGTACGAGACGGTATGTTTACCGCAGGAAAATTACTCGAAGTGGAACTCCTAATCAAATGAAGCCCTGATCCCTGAACACCGATCTTTTAGTGCTTATCCTTCTTTAAGTCCGCGGAGAAAATGGGTCTAAGTCCGTCCAGTGCTTCATGTAAGCCTTATCTCCGTAGAGGAAGGAATGGTTCTTCCTATATATGCTAATGCCCAGACGAGCATGTCTAAGTACAGAGGTCCTCAAGAGCCAACCAACACACACGACAACAGAATCGTCCCCTATCTTTCTTCATAAGCGTCTCTACTACCAGCCCTCACCAATCAAGGACAACCATCAATATGGCCGAGCCAACGCCCCCAACCGAGCTCGGCCGCCTGCGCATCCTCTCCTCCACCGCAGGCGTGCGCGTCTCCCCGCTCCAGCTGGGTGGCATGTCCATCGGAGACGCATGGGCCGGCATGATGGGATCAATGAGCAAAGAAGCGGCCTTCAAACTCCTGGACGCCTACCACGAAGCTGGGGGTAACTTCATTGACACGGCCAGCGCCTACCAACACGGGCAGTCGGAGACGTGGATCGGCGAATGGATGCAAGCCCGTCAGAACCGGGACTCGGTGGTGCTGGCCACCAAATTCGGTATGGATTATCGCAGTCCTGCCATGGGCCGGGGGCACAAGACGGCCAACTTTGCCGGGAACTCTCGCCGGGGGATTCATGTGAGTGTGCGTGATTCTCTTCAGAAGTTGCAGACGGATTATATCGGTAGGCCCTTTCCCTTCTCCCGTGCCTCCCAACCCAGGGCTCTTATCACTGACCACCGTAGATATCCTCTACGTCCACTACTGGGACTACACCACATCTATCAAGGAGATGATGGACACCCTGCATATTCTAGTCGAACGAGGCAAGGTCCTCTACCTCGGGGCGTCCGACACCCCCGCATGGATCGTCGCCGCCGCCAACACCTACGCTATTGACCACGGTAAAACCCCCTTTAGCATTTATCAAGGGCGCTGGAACCTCTTGAACCGGGACTTTGAGCGCGAGATTATTCCCCTAGCCCGTCACTTCGGCATGGCTCTCGCACCATGGGACGTCCTCAGCGGCGGCAAATTTAAGTCCAAGGCCGAACTGGAACAGCGCAAGAACACCGGTGAGGCTCTGCGCAGCTTCGCTGGAAAAGCTGCCCAGCAGACGGAAGACGAGGCCAAGATGAGCGAGGCACTCGAGAAGGTTGCTGCCGAGCATGGCATCACCTCTGTCACTGCTGTGGCGTTGGCATATGTCATGTCGAAGGCAGGCAATGTCTTTCCTCTCGTTGGTGGGCGCAAGGTCGAGCATTTGCAGGATAATATCCAGGCGTTGAGTTTGAAGTTGACGGATGAGCAAATCGCGTATCTGGAGAGCGTGAAGCCATTTGATATTGGGTTTCCGCATAATTTTATTCCAGCGGATCCCAATGTTACTGGCAGTTCGTTTTTAATCGCGCGGACTAATGCGATGAAGTTTCCGAACGCGAGAAAGGAGACTTCCTTGTAGTTGGACAGATTTGTTAGTGAGAGGTTTTAGAGGGTTTTTTTTATGACTTTAGTAAATTCTTTTATTACTTTAAAGATTCCTATTCTTTTTGGAGATTTTTATCTTTTCTACAGATGTTATTGGATTAAGGTCTAGGACTAGATGGGTTGGAATATAGATGTTCTGATTCCGGATGGCTGACAGGGCCTAGCCCTTTTCAATAACAGTCAGATATAACTACTCTAGGCTTACTCGGTTGACGATTACGTTATTATCTTCTTATTATTAATACGTAGTTTTTAACAAAGGGACACTTGGTAATTATTGAAAGTTTTATTAGATATACATAAAGAGCTATCTTCATTTCTACGTAGTTTTTCATTTTAGACTTGTTAGTTTTAGGTACATAAATATAGTATCTCTACTTTAGACCTGTTTCTGGTCCGTCACAGTAAAGCAGAAATGTATTATGTAAGAATTAGTAAAGGAAACTGTAGCTACCTGCATCACAGACTAATAAGAAGCAGGATACTCCGTAAATAACAACAACTACGCCTCTGGCTGCGTCAGTATATAATTGATAGCTCTTTTACTTTGCAGCTATAGTCCGGTACCTCTCCGCAGTATTCTTTCTCATCTGCTTTCCCCAGATAACCATAGGAATGATAGTCAATGTAATCGCCAAACTAATGAAGCCACAAGCAATAAACATGTTCCGCGGGCCCGATCGATGCAGCCAGGGGCTGGTTGCAAAGGGAATGCCGATGCTGATAGCGTTGCGTATGAATGCGACTCCCGTGAAGGCGTCGCCAGTGATCTAGTTGTTACAGGATTATGAGAAAGATACTCGGTAAAGGAATCGGACAAGGGGGTGCGATCTTACATCACGATAAGAGTCAATTACCAACGTCAGTGCTGCGTCGCTTATACTGCCAAGTCCGAATCCAAACAGAGCGCCAGCGACACTGGGCCAGATCCAATGCATGCCCTGGTAGAACCCGTTAGCCATCTTCATATACTTATTCTGTGGTGATTATGAGTAAGGCTTACGCGTGCAATTGTAGCCCCAAACATTATCAATCCTCCGGCCAACGCAAGTGCGGGCAAATGAAGAATATACAAACGCATCTCGGGCTCATAGTATCCTTTATTGCGCTTCGAGAAAAACAAGAGCGACCGATCACCGACGAACCCACCGTAGAACGATCCAATCAGGTTCCCGATAAAGGGGCCAACACTCATAAACCCGATTTGCTCAGGAGTGAACAAATAGGGTGGCAATGGGAAGACTAAACTCAGGACGGTGGACAGAATAGTCAGCCAGACTACGCCAAATGCATACTGCATGGCGCAGAATAGAACGGCAGGGAAGGACGCCACGACAGAGAAAGGACGGTAGTAATACGGCCAAATTGGCTCGGGTGTGTATGTTATGAGGGCGAATCGCTGTCTCCAAGGCTTCATGGGGATGGTGTAGTCCAGCTCGTGGTGGCCAGCTGGCGTAACATTTGTTTCGGACCTGATAGCAAGGTACTCTATGTCAGGATTTTGATCGGATTTGGTGTCGTTGACCGAAATTTGGTGGACGTCTACCGTGGCCTCGGGGGGGCTGTCCACCCCCGAAATGACTTGCGTGTATTTGGTTTCCTCGTAGAAGAACACGAATAGAACGAATAGGATGGCGTTGCAGATACCCAGGGTTCGGTAAGATGCTCGCCAGCCTTGTCGCGTTGCTTGGGTTCCGGCTGCCATGGGACTGAGAAAGCTCTGCAAGGGCGTTGGTAAGAATAGCACAGCATATTTGCAGATGACAAGGATTGATATACTCCAATCATCACCATAGTCATATATAGGGCGTTCATCCCACCACGATGGTGCACAAAGAAGAGATCGGCAATCTAGAGCAGTCAGTCAGAAACAATTCATTCCAGGGACAAGTACTACCGTAATTTGGACGATCGACTCATTTGTGGCCCCAGCTAGACCCTGCAGAAGATTGGTAGCATACAACTCCGTGAGTGAATTCAAGTTGGCCGACCAGAAGGACGTCGCCAGCATGAGTGCAGTCGAAGCCAGGTACACAGGCCTTCGTCCGAACTTCTTCGCCAGAGGAATAAAGAATATACATCCCATGGCAAGGCCAACGAAGTTGACCGACATCGTGCGGTTAAGCTGGGCATATGTCACATTCAGGTCTACCACCATCAATTGCCAGAAGATCGCCTGGATCGAAAGGCTGTCGCCCATTAGCATAAAGCGCCCTGTGTACGGAGAAAGTAACTCACGCTGTAAAAATGGCTGCCGTCACTGCAAGGACGAGCGTGAAGTTACAGATCTTTCGTGCTGTACTCCAATTCTAGGATTGTGAGTAGTTGTGGTCGCAAGGTAAAACGGATGACTGACCAAAGGTTCATTGGGATCGCTCGACGGAACAGGGTTGAGCATAACCTGGCCCTGGTTACGGTGTCCTTGACCTTCGTCTGGAGATTGGTTAGGCTTGATGACCCGATATGAGAGCATACTCCCTACCTCGAATGAGCAGTATTGTTCCGGGGGGCAGATCGCCCCGTGGGTCAAGGAATGCTGAGTCGCTGGGCTGATTCTGTGCCATCAGGACCGTTGGAAGAGCTATGACAGTGAATGATGAGGGAGACCAGGAAACCGGAATCAATCTTTTGCTGACGTTCAAGGGAAATCTATTTCACGTTCCCTAGGTGGCAATCATGCTTGATATATGACTGCTTCGAAACCCCGACTCTCTTATACTTCAGTATTGTCAATACCGACGCATGTATCTGGAGAAGTCATGGTAGCTATCGAGCAGAAATCAGGTCTGGTGCTCCAGATACCATGATCATGCACCATGCGGGGAAATGCATTCCCGGCAGATAAGGAAGACGCTAAGTGGGACCAATCGACTGTACTCCGTAGTAGGAACCGACTTGGATATCCCGGCGAGAGGCATAGGATGGGGTCGACCTGCCTAAAAGGGAACGTTGGACTACGCGTCCTTATTTCGACATCAAGGAACATAGTGTACTGATAAATCCTCATGGTGTCATTGGCGCAACACACCGAGTGATTAGCTGGTAAATTTCCGTATCGTATGAGGCCTTTTAAACCTGGAATTCAAGACCAAAGTGGCAGGTCGACTCTGAAAACTAGGGCCAGTGAAAGTTCACGGCACCAGCTGCATATTTTATATCCAGTATCTTGAAGAAACAATATACTTTCTCACGAACCTACACAAATGATAAGAAGGCATAACGGAGTGCCAGCGGTGCAAATCAAGCCAATAATTCTCACAATGGCGGCCGGTCAAATATTGCCACTATTCCGTGTCCGCGACGGTACGTGCGACCCGTACCAAGCGATCAACATTGACTAAAACATGACATCTACATAGAACGTGAGTCCGTCCGCGCAGTCGCAAATACAATCACCATATCCTTTGCTCAAGATCCTTTGATCAAATGGTTGCGCCCTCGCGTTCCACTCTGGACGAGAAACAACAAAGGAACGTTCAAATGGCAGTATCGACGGGTTCAGCGGGCTATTGCAGATGGTATAGTTCTACAATCAGGGCCAGCTGCACACATAGACCGATTGTTCCCTTCAGGGTCTTCAGAGTCGTGTCATACTGAACCGGAAATGCTTGGTTCAGTGGCTGCACAAAGCAGCAGCAAGAATGACGATGGTGGTGAGGATGCGGGTGTAGTGGTCATGCTATTTCCTCCCGCGGGGCATAAACGATGGACACTGGAAAGGCTTTTTCTTCTGTGCAAGCTAAGCTTGCTCGAAGTTTTTCGCTCAGTTTGTGATAGGGGAACGAATTCCGAGGTATGCTCCAAGTATCCCTGGGATAGGCACGTGAAAAATAACGAACTGGGGGATACTAGAGACTGGAGATAATGATGACTAGCCATGACGAGGCGATTGCTCGAGTTGAAATGCTACATCAACTTCGCGACGTGTGGTACCTGGAGGTTATCGCTGTCCATCCATCTCTTCAAGGTCGAAGGCTTGGGAAGAAGGCTATGAACTCGGTGTTGGACTATATTAACCACGAGCCAGTTGTGCTCGAGTGTACGAGTGAGGATAATATCCCATTTTATCAGAAATTGGGGTTCGAGACTGTCGAAGAGGTCGATTTGACAGAAAATGGTGAAGCCGTTAGGTTATGGATCATGCTACGACGGGCGCCTAGGAGGGGACATAGTAAATAGTAGCCTGCAGAACAATACTCCATATTAGAATAGCCCAACCTCGATCTCTTTTAACTGTGCGAGCTCATGGATGCTAACGGTGTCACTAGGGTATGTCCAGTATTCTTCCAGCAGGTTTAAGAGAAGTCGATACTGCCTGTTCCAGAACGGCCCCTCGCCGGTTACAGCCAGGATCTTTCGTACGAACTCCCTGAGGCCTGGGTTCTTATCCAGAACGGCGGTCTGCAAGCCGGCGACGAAGACAGGATAGGGAATGGCATTGATGGTAAACTTCTCCTTTGCCTCGGCTTCTAATGACACTCGCCAAACGGCGTCAATGCAGCTCAGAAGTCGCGTGATGATTACCGCTGTCGTAGGAAGCCCCAATCGATTTTGACTTTGCGTTAGCTGTGCCGTGGGAACTGTGATGTCTAACGGCAGCCGGAGCGTACCATGTCGCACTACCAACATCCCAGCCAACCGATATGCTTCCCACAGCTGGCACTGCGAAAAGGTTCCTTCAGCCCCAGGCCAATTCCAGAAATCTTCTTCGGTTGCGCCCTCACCAACGCACGAGAATATATCGACTAAGGATCGTGGTAAACCACTCACAACCTCCACATCATACACTTCGGATAAGTCGGCCGTGGAACGATTGCGACAGTACCGTCTCCAGAATCCTAAATACGGGCATTGCCTACCGATAGCGAATGTCGGGAGATCCATGATCCCCATAACCTCTAATAAATGCGCACGGAAGCCATGAGTCTGGTCACGTGGCTGTTCAGAGCCGTGTGACTGAAGGATGTTGTACATCCCCCGCAGATGCATCGTCCACGGTATTCCCTGCGTAACCTATGCACACCTATTGTCAGGCAAGAATGCGGGATATTGGGCCAGTGAAGGTCAGACGTACTCCAATAGTACATAACAGCAGTCCGGCAGTCAGTGTGCCATCCTTCAAGTATGCTTCACTTTGAGCCAACTCGCTGCGGAAGTTGTTCAAGGCCGCGTCGAAGTACTCAAAAAAATGAGACTTCATGTCCGACCGTAGTGAAACCTGAAGAGTGACGCATATTCGATACAGAGCTTCAGATTGCTGACAGAGTGTTGGAAGTCGCAATTTGAGCGGGGTCTCCCCGTCGTGGACCGTGGTGGAGTGCAAGATGTTGATTCCCCAAGAAAGGACTAATACCTCATCAATCAGCAGCCCGCACTGCTATGAATTGCTCTGTTTTGCTTACAGTCATTGAACAACCCTGCATCATGTCTGGACTTCCAAGCCTCCGATTGCAACGGGCTAACGTCAACATCTACTAGAAATCCGTTAGTGATCCTCATCCTGACCACACGCTAGGCTGCCTTCTACCTCTACTTTCCTCCGCCTGAATTCCAGGCGCAGATAAGTTCCCGGGTAGTTGATCTGCAACCTGCAACTGCCGTCTTCTTTCTCGACTCCGATCCCGCTGGCGACCTTGAACCCTCGGCGGAATCGACGACTGAACTGGCGCATCTGCGCCGGTAAATCGGCCTCGCGAAGCAATCCCAGTCCCCCACTGGAGGCGGATTTCATAACCCTCACATGCGAGTCCGCGGTCCCTGCAAGCTTGACACGTCGGGCGAGCACGGTCACACTTTCGACGGCGGGCTTTGCAGGTCCAACTATGGGGTCAAAATCAGTATTTACAGAGAGAGTGTGGAGAAAATGGGCGAGTTATCCTACCATCCCTGATGAGTTCGGCGACTGGGGGTCGACATGCCTAGTTTGGGTCATGATCAGAGTTGAAGAAGCAAGGTCGGGCACGACTAGGGGGATAAGTGGGAGCTTAAAGGCCGATGTGGGGGAGATAACCGGGGAGTCATCCGCACATGTGACGGAGGGTCGACCTGCCGATTCGAGTAGAGCCCGGATCTGCCGCCGTCGAAGATAAGATAAGCTGGGCCGCGGCTAGTTATGATATGCCCTAGGAGAGCTGAAGTTGCTAGGACAGGATGTATGTATCTAGTTCAACTGACCCTGCGGATTGTATCCTATACTGACGGCCAACCTGATAGTTAATCTCAACATGTCATTCCAAACACCTGTCGCCAAATGCACGGCAGAAATCCCCACCCTCGGCCAACTTTGGGGTCTGCAGTTCGCGAATGGGGTCCAGCAATACTGTGGAATTCCATACGCCGACCTGCCAAAACGGTGGACAAGATCAACCCTCAAGACTGCCTGGGAGAACTCTAAGCACGATGGAACAAAGCTGGGGTAAGAATCTATACATCTTACGTTCACTTTCACCAACTAACGGCTGTGTAGAAAGGACTGTCCTCGACCCTACTCCGACGGCGACGATACTGACGATCTTGTTCCCGTCCCACCACCCTCTCATTTCCCGGATCCTCCAGAAACAGACGAATTGAGTGCGCTGGTGATGAACATCGTTATTCCCTTCGTCCCTACCTCCAACGGCCCAAAAGTCCCGGTCATGGTATACGTCCACGGTGGCTCCCTGCTCTACGGAGGCGCAAATCTCCCGATCTTCGACGCCGTGAACCTCGTCTCGCAAAGCATCGAGATGGGGATGCCCATTATATGCGTGAACTTCAATTACCGCGTCGGACTAGGCGGCTTTCTCGCGAGCGAAGCTATACGCTGCGAGCTGCAGGAGGATGGTTTCCAGGGATGCGGGAACTTCGGGTTCACAGACCAGCAACTCGCGTTTGAATGGGTTCAGCGGCATATCAAGGCTCTCGGTGGAGATCCCGGTAATGTCACTGCGGTCGGGGAGTCTGCCGGGGGGATCTCAATCAGTAATCAGCTGGCAGCTGCTCATCCGCCGACATTCCGGCGCGCGGTCGCGATGTCTGGACTTTCTGTCTCTATTCCTCCTTGGGACATGAACCAGCACGAGGCTCTTTTTCAGGCTGTGTGTCGCTATTTTCAGATCGACGCGTCACGACCTGATGTATTAGATCGTCTTCGCCATATCCCGCAACAAGACCTTGCTAATGCGACACCGGCTATTCAAGGGGTTCTTTCGGGAACAGGGAACCCTTGTCTCGATGGATGGTTTTACAAGGCCGACCCGTGTGAGATTCAGGCAGCCCCAGCATGGCTCGAGGCCTTGATGTTGGGCGATACATATCACGAAGGAATCATATTTCACATGAATCTTCTCGACGATGATTATCTTTCTATTCGCAGGACGCTATTGGATTCTATTCACGATGAAAGCGAGACCGACCGGATTCTGACGGAATACGGCATTAATTCGTCTCTTCCTCATGGCATGCTTCTCGAGCGCGTGGAACACATGTGTGGAGATGCAGTTTTCAAGATACCGAACTACGCCACAGCCCTTGAAAACTCGACCCTTCAGGATAACGGTGGTCTATTCTTGTACCATTTCGACCAGCGATCTCGTCTTAAGAATGCATTGGAGGGGACCGCTTATCATGCTCATGAGCTTTTGTACCTATTCAAGAACATGACGAATGAGATGAGCGATGAGGAGAACAAAATGGCGGAGGACTTCGCTGGTGCTTGGATCAAATTGTGCAATGGGGCAACACCATGGACGGCATCCAAGGGAAAATGGAAGGTATGGGGACCAAACAGTGCTCAAGCTGTCAAAGATGAGGAGGAAGATGAAGAATCCCGATTCTATCAACGAATGCAGCGGATACGAGCCATGGGAGGTGGAGGGACGTGGAAACGATGGCTGGCTGGGGTGGATGCGCTGGTGAATAAGCGGATGAACCTGGGCAAAGCAGTGTAATTCGAATACAGTACATTACAGTGGCTCTTGCCTCAATATAGTGTCGTATTATCGGGAAATTTCCCTCAGTACCCAAGTTGATTTCTACTTGTAGTTTCCTGAAACTACCCATGTGCCATGTGCTTACTCACATGTCTTGTACATGACGTGGTAAAACCGCCTTCTCGATCCTCTCTTCCGTAACCAGCATTTGTTTTGGAACCCAGGAAAGATCGCGAGATTCAGTTTCCAGCAACACATCATCATGTATCAGTAACAGTGTCGCCAGGGCTTTGCCGCACAACCATGCCAACACCATTCCCTCTCCCGAGAACGCAGCGGAAACCCATTCAGCTCCACAACCCTCTTTATTGAGTCCCCTGTGGGTCACTGATGCCGGAAGGGGACCTACCCAGGGAAGCCCATCGGCACTAAAGCCCATAGTTCCCGCCCACATCTTTTCCACACTGCGTCTGGGAACAACCCCCCAATTGTCGCGACCAAACACCGCGCTCAATGCACCTGATAAATGAATGTCAGCATACAGACTGAGCTCTGAGTCTGCAGCAATCCCCAGGTCAGCAATTCCGCCTCCTTCTCCCTGGGCGAATCCCCCTCCGAACATCATCATCGGGCCTGTCTTTGTCGGTGGCAGCTGCGTGAGATAGTCCATCCCCCGATCATAGTTGAAGATCCATGAATGCTTCTCCCCTTGGCAGGGGAATGCCTGTCCTGCATGTTGCGCCGACATCTGCCCGCGAATCGGGTAGATCCGGCCTCTGAGGCCCGGGACAAGGTGACTGACATGTGCGTTCGTACAATGAATGACATGCCGAGCGCGGATAACGCCTCTTGACGTTGAAACTGTGTACCGCAGTGAACCATCACCTTCGTCCGTCTGCTCCTCGATCCCTTTTACAGGCGTATTTGTTTCGATCACCAGATCCTGCGGAAACTCTTTCTGCAACTGACTCAAAACCCCCGTGATAAACCTATACGGCCAAATCGCACCTCCCGGTCCAGCGACTATTCCATGCGCATGCGGAAGGCAAAATTCTTCCGGAATCTCTTCCCTCTCATATGCTGTCCATTCCTTGGTCTCCTCGGGCAACCCTTCCTTCAACCGGCGTAACCGATCTCGGGCGTCTTTCCACCCCTTTTCATTGAAATAGACGCTCAGAAACTGCACCTTTCGCGCCTGACAATCCTTGGTTAGGCCGTACTCCTCCGCGGTAGCAAGGATCTCGCGTAAATGTGCCAGGCGAAAGTTCATGATCTTCCTCGCTTCTTCGCGGCCATACAAGTCTTCGAGATCCGCAAACTCCTCCGCCGTCTCAAGAATATGCCCCCCATTTCGGCCCGTCGCACCGCTGCAAATGCTGCGCGCTTCTAGGATGACGACGGCCGGCCGTTTGGTCTCCCTATTCGCTGCCCTCCGGGATTTGAGAAGAGTCCTTGCGACTGAGGTGCCGGTTACACCCGAGCCGATAATAATGACTTCGGCCTCGGATGGGAAGGTGGAAGACTGGACATTGGCAAGGTCAGGGTGTGGAGGGCTTAGCCAGAAGGAGGATGTAGCGTTGGTTGTTGGCAGACCGGGGTCAGAGAAGGCTCTGTCGAGAGCCTCTTGGCGGTCTTGGTCTGGGATTGCGGGATTGGAGAGGAGGGCTTGCACAAAGGACATGGTGGGCAGAATGGATGTACTTGACTGGTATTCTGGCATTCGATGTCCTCGTCTCTTCTTGACGAACATGCGATGTCTACAGTCAAATATACAGTATTAAAAGATATATTAGAATGACAGAGCGCATTCCGCGGAGACCGAGGATGCTACCTGAGAGATTTGTAATAGCGCAATATTAGAAGCGAGTCAAATCGACTCCGGTATCTTGGTTCAGAAACGCATCTATTTGGGAAGGTTCACCCGAAGTGCCATCTTTGGCTTCTGATTCCGTACCCGAAGATCTAGTATCATGATCGGTCTCCCTTATCGTGGATCGAGGGTCGACCTACCGGGTAGGGCAGTCCGATGTCACACCCCCACGGCGAGGGGGCGGCCAACAGCAAGCAGCCCTATTTGGGGCCAGTTCGGCAACTACTTAGTATATGACTTACCGGCGGTATCTCGCAGTATGGACCTTCTACTTCTAGGACTTCGATAACTTCACTCAGAGAACCGACAGAAAGCGACGGCGAATTTATATATCACTTGGTCGGAGCTGGCAAAACATATCAAGAGTACCATCACGCGACATCAGTTCTATCACCACCTTCGATACATTGCATCGCACCATCATCATGGCTGCTAAGACCGCCGACTCGCCCGGAAACGCCTATTATCCGAACAGTCCCCCAATGCGCCGACCGGGCCTAACATTCCTGTACCGCCTCGAGTGCACCATCGATGCAGAAGAACTCAACATTGGTGCTCCCCACGGCGCAGGCATAATCCGGAGCATCGCGAACATCACCGGGGGTACATTCAAGGGACCAGACCTCGAAGGAACGGTCCTCCCACTGGGGGGAGCAGACTGGGCCACGGTCATTGAGGGTACCCACGTCAGTTTTCTCACCCTTGCCCTTGGCGGATGATGCTAACCAGGCCAGTCCATGACACTCGACGCCCGATACACCATCAAAACCACCGACGGCCATTACCTCTTTGTGCAGGCCCATGGGCTTTACCGTCCGGGACCGGGGACAAAATACGCCAAGCAGGTTGCCGCGGATCCGGAGAAAAGACCTCCGTCGACCGTTACACAGGACGACGTTGAGTTCTTCTCGCATTTACGGATCGAAGCGGGTGGAAAGAAGTATAACTGGCTAAATGGGTTAGTTTGTGTCGGCGTCATGAGTTGTGAGGATGACCGGATTCTTATTGATGCCTACTATTTGACGAACTTTGGGGGCCTTGGGCCGGAGGACATTGTTATGGTTAGGAAGTAATTCCTTCGCTGATGAGGGCACCTGATTGAAATATTTTATTGCCTTAGGTTGGGTATATGAGACGAATTCTGATAAGGCGTGTGCTGCAGCACGATTGAGACTGTTCCTCCGCCAGTACTGCCGAGCATCCCGCGGCCCCAGTGCCGAGGTTATTCTTCCTAACCGATAAGGAAAGCCTAGAAGACACTGAGCCCCACCGGACGATACGTTACTAGTGAGTTGACCTAGCCTCTTAAGGAAGGTAGACGCACTTTCAGGACGCTACCTGGAAGCGGAGGCAAACTGGTTATGATAGGATTCCATCGATGAGAACTCCAGAGTGGAGCAACAAGGATATCGAAGGAGAGGGTTCTGATAACCAACTATCCGCCTCACTATATAACTCTAGACATGGCCCTCAACAATGTAGCCATATCGCCCACAAGATGACTCGAACTACGTCTACAACTGACCACTGGCGCACGCTCGTTGCCCGAAAGCGCGAACAGCTGGATGCACAGATCCCCTCCGAATGGCGTCTACCTCAGAAGTTTCTAGCGGCAGTCCCCGCCAATGGCCGACTCATTGACGCTGATGTTATCCGTGGCAGTGGTATTCTTTCGGACCTTGAGCTGGACATTACACAAAACTATTCCGCAGGCGAGCTGCTAGTGAATCTGTCAAAGGGGGTCATAAGCTCTGTGGAAGTGACCACGGCGTTCTGCAAACGGGCAGCCATTGCTCAGCAGCTTGTATGCCACCCCCCCCTTAACAGTACGTGATGTGAGAATTCTTCTAAGGAATTGATCTAGACATCATGTTTGACCGAACATTTCTTCCAACGGGCTATTGAGCGCGCTCAATTCCTGGATGACTATTTCCAGCGAGAGAAGAAACCACTCGGGCCTCTACACGGCCTTCCTATTAGCATCAAGGATAGTTTCTGTGTGGAGGGGATTCCGAGTACCGTCGGATATGTCTCATTCATGGAAAAGGGACCGGCTTCGCATAATTCAGCTATCGTTGACATGCTACTCAATCTCGGCGCTGTCCTATATGTTAAGACGAATATCCCACAGACGATGATGGTCGGTTTACCGCCAATTCAAGTTCGTGAATCGTGAATACTGATCTAGGTTCTAGACAGGAGACTCCGATAACAATATATTCGGTCGTACCCTGAACCCCCACAACATTCATTTGACTGCCGGCGGGTCAAGTGGAGGGGAGGGTGCTCTCGTAGCATTTCGCGGCTCCATTCTAGGAATCGGTACTGATATCGCAGGATCAATTCGCATTCCATCCCTCTGCTGCGGGGTTTATGGTTTCAAACCTACCATCGACCGCATCCCCTGGGGCGGCCAGGTCGCCGATCTAGCCATGGAAGGCATTCCTGGTCTCAAACCCTCTGCCGGCCCACTCGCTCATACTCTGGACGATCTCGAACTATTCATGTCCACTATTCTAAACGCCGAACCCTGGAAATATGACTGCACCGCCAGCGCAGCACCATGGTATCCACAACCCTCTGGCGATCAACCCAGGCAGCTTACCATCGGTGTCCTCCCCGAGAGCAAGGACTTCCCGCTCCATCCTCCCGTCAAAAGAACACTGCAGACTGCTATAACTGCCCTGCAACAAAAGGGACACCGGGTCTTGCAGCTCCCCGAGGATCCCGCCCTGGACATCGCATACGCAAATCGACTCGCATTTCAATATTTCATTTACGGCCCACACATTGATCACATCGCATCCAGCGGCGAACCGCCCGTGCCATCCGTAGCGAAGATGTCTTCACCAATGTTCACGGGCCCATTCCCGGTAAGCATGGACCTACCCCCATTTGAGACGATCGACGCATTGCACGTTGCTCGACAGGGATATGCAGATGCCTGGCGAAAGACCTGGGTGGAGAACAGCCTGGATGTCCTTCTTGCGCCAGGGGCCCAGAATACGGCTGTTCCGCATGATACCTTTGGATGGCCACCTTATACGTTGGTCTGGAATTTACTTGATGTAAGTGTAATCTAGTCTATTAGAGACGTGGAAAGCGGTGGTGACTGACGATTGTCTAGTATCCTGCTTGCATTATTCCGTACGGCAAGGCTTCACAGCAGCTTGATTATGACCCGATGGCCGTTACTGATGGTGTTCAGCCTAGTTGTAAGCTATCCGTTTGGGAATGTTTAGCCTTTCACGCATGGATTGACTAATTACGAATAGATGATCCGGATGCTGTCGATGGAGCTCCCTGTGCTATCCAGGTTATTGCGCCTCGATTCCAGGACGAGAAGTGTCTTGCGGCTGCGCGGATTATTGACCGGGACATTCAGTGATGGTTCTACCTTCGTATAATTGTGCCAGACAACTTGATATCCATAGCTTTCTTCCGGTACCAGATTGTAGGAGGAAAACACCGTACAGTCCTGCCATAAATGTTATGTAATACACAACACACGTATGAGTCAGGCCAGCATGACAGAATGCATACTCATGGATACCTATACTTTGAGGGCGAATTGCTTTACGAGAAACATGGGACTTGTAAGTGCTCTTGTATCTTGGGTCAACACAGTACGTGCTCCCTGCTGGTGGGGTTTTATACCAAAGTTTCGATACTATTGGCATGTTCGGATCATTATACTTGCATGAAATGGATGTACAAAGTGCCATCCTGTACTTGTATCTCCCGGCTAGCCCGTCTTTTAGAAGCGTCAACCTTGCCGATATGTCGACTGCGCCTATGGAAGGAGGGTGTATACCGTGCAAAAATTAAGCGTCTTTCCAGAGCGGTATCTAGAATATCTAGAGAAAGGAACAGCTTCCGCCACGAGCCTAGGTTCCTTCAAAGCAAAACCCGTTGACAGAAGTGCGACCCGACCGCACTTGGGTTTATCGAGGCAGTACTGTGGGCCCTGGCAGGACTTCGTATAATGGGGACACATTGTGGTTTGATCAGACGGAAGGCCGCAGCTGTCGCAGGTTTCCAAAGCGGCCTGGTCCCATAGCATGATATCATTTGGGGCGACCTACTTCTGATTGCTCCAAGGTGGTCTTTATAAGGCCCTCTATAGGGAAGATCTGTCTACTGAGGAGAACCGGCTGCAGCTTCGATAGGATCCTCGACTTTGGTGCCAGTGCCATGTGCCTCGAAGTGATGACACTTCGGTCAGGATTAGCAGGGGCGGGTCCAGATGCATATCAGCAAGACCTACCGATGGGACTCCCAGGATGGATGGAAGCCGGACATTGAGGAGGCCTGTCGGATTTGGGAAGGCCCGGTGACGGATGGAATCGTGATACCGGTCTGTGCATTGTATGGAGCATACCTTCGCCTTCTTGTATCCCCCATCCAGCACCACGTCTGAGGCCATACCAGTCAGCGCAATCGCCCGTCCCAGAGTGGCTATATGCCTACCATCTACGGAGTAGCAGACCAGGCATGCAGAGCAGCAAAGGAACCTCACTCTGGTTCCAAGGCCGCCGGGTTCACCGACCGCGTTATCTCGTGTTCCATCCTCGGAAAGAGCCCTTTGACCGTGATCATAGTAGCCCGTCCTCTTTTGTTGGCTATGTGCATTACACAAATGTTGTAGGAGATCGCAGAAAACAGTTTGAGCCTTGCCCGGGTCCCAGGGGAAGAGATAATTCTCCGGGATGGCAACTATGTCTGAAGAGAGTAGCTCAGGTCACCCCAAAGGACTGGACTGAAGATCCGTACTTCATGTGTCACCTAGTGGCACTCGCGCAGTTCCAGGAGAACAAGCTGGATTTATCCACACCAGCTACGTATATTGTATATGACAGCCATATCGCACACAAAGGAATTGGCATGATTCCCCCGAGGATGCCGACCGACCAATAGGAACCACGGGAGCCGTCCGCAAACGGAGGCTTCCGCCCGTCGCCGCCGTGCCAAAATGATATATCATGAGCTTACAACACGATCTCAATAATCACGATGACCTCGCAGAGAAGATTATTGCCAGGGACATCACCATAATCCACTTCCTGGTCGACGCAGATACAGCCAAACATCAACCATCAATCATCCAGGCACTTGGCCAAGTGAAGAAAAAGACGGGCCAGGAAGTGCACTTTCTGCACACCACGGGTGCGAAGCAATTCAGCTCTCATGCTGGCATGCCCACCGATGCTCCCTTGCTAGACACCAACCCGCATCTCTATGATCTGCAAAAGAATGCTACGGCACCCCATGATTTCGTGGATGTGGTAGGTGCGGACCTCCTCCATATTCGATCCTCTGCCTGACCATACTTTAGTCAGTCAAAGCCCACGTTGTTGTCATCGACACGGCGGGAGCGCACAGGGTACGGAGCTATATATTCGCCCCCTGCCTAGTGTACGGTCGCGGGGACGGATTCGGTAACCTGACCTCCATCCAAGATGTCTCTATAGTGCAAGCAGCGCAAAGTCTACGTCGAGTTTGCCATGTCGATACTGCAACCCTGTACCTCGAAATTCTGCGAAAGATCCTCTCTGGCATTGACATCGGATATGGTAAAAATGGATCCTTCCTGGCTTCATCAGGCAGCATTTCTTGGAATGACGTCTATGCTGCGTTCGCCAAAGCCCTTGCCAAACGCCACGTCATCGACACCGACGTAGTCACACAAGCCGAGGAGTCAGATTTGGCCAAGATGGCAGACGGGCTTGGTGTGGCACCGAGTGCCGTCCAGGTGCTTCTAGGCAGAAAGTAGGTGAATTCCGTCGTGTCGTGAGACCTTTGAGCACTAACCACAGTGGCAGGTGCCTCTATACTGCTGAGCATGGTATTCAGATTGGATGGAAGCCTCAGTACGCGCCAGATGGAACGGGCGGACGAAGAAGTCGAGCTGATCTTGCAAGAGCTCCAGAAGAAGGCGAAAAGGGCCAATATTAGGTAATAACCTGTGATGTTGGCGAACCACGATAGCCGTCAGTATAAATAAATGGTTTGCAGGTTCAGGAGTAGACAGAAACCGATCGTTCGGGCACTAATACATGGCTCGTTCCTGGGATTCCTTCTTTCACACGTTTTCTGAAATACAGGGTTGATTTAGATAAATTTCAAAGGGTCAGGATCTAAAAGCTCCAGTGTTGCAAGGGAACTTTCCAAAAATGGTTGTTCTGATGTCAACGTATGACTGGCCTGGCATCAAAACTTGGTTGGGTCCATGAACGCCTCGCTGACTTCATCACAATAGTTGGGCCAAGCTTCCAGATTCATCAGATCGGCCCAGGACCACAAGGAATCTAGGCTCGGCTCTGGAAGGCAGGGTAGAGGTGGTTGTGGATCGTCCATCGGCACTGGGGCATTGATTACTGGGGTGATGTCACTGGTGGCCTGGTCCTGCTGCAACCGTTGACGCCCTACCTCCGAGGTTTGAACGGGTGCAAGAGGATCGTCGATATTAAGGATGCGCAATAGAGTGTCCACTTTGCTGGATAAATGACGGGTGAGCGCTGCGGCACGAACCATAGCGGCGCTTTTGCTCCCAGCCGAGTCAAATATCTCCAAAGCCAGGCGGATATACCGTCGGGCCCGGGGACACCTGTGGCAATATGGGTATGCGAGCATGAATCCGACGAGCGTTAATACCGCATTCCACTGGTATTGGTAGACCTCCGGCACGCCGTGAAGGACATCACAGGTGGCCATGCGGTGGTGAGTGAGTCTGATCATGGCCAAAGCATGATTGAGAGCCGTGGCATTATGAGCGTCCGCCCGCGGACTGGATTTGGGGATGAGTGGGTGACTTGGGAACTGGATGAAGACCCGGTGAAGAGTAATGATGACATTGTGGTACTGAAGTTCCAGTAAGGTCGTCAACAGAATTTCCATTGGCTGTCTCATGATGTAAGTGAGCTCAACCTCGGGCTCTTCGTCCGGATCCGCAGGCGTGTCCGCAACATCTAGTTTGAGGTTACCGAACGGTTCATGACTCTGCAAGTCCGTTCGCCATTGATGCAGATGGTGCAATTCGTCGGACAGAATCCGGGCTCGGTTTTCAATCTCCGTAGGTTCTTTCTGGCGCTGGGCAGGAATAGAAATACAGCCAGTGGACTCGATGATCGTCAACGCAGCAGCTGTGAGGCGGATGGATTGGGTGTGATAGAGAGTGCTTCCTGGGTCGAGTAGACTGTGAGATTCACTGGTTGGCAGAGGACACATGCAATCCTGTAAACGAACACTGATGGGCTTGCCCAAATGCCGTGAACAGCGAAAGTCGAGGTGGTTCAGTGTCCACCAGATCCGATGGAAGAGTTCACAGCCCTGAACCGTAGCCCCAGGCCGTGTCTCTAGATCGATATTTAGCGACTGCGCGATTCGCAGAGCCAAGCCAATCATATTATACGCTGGAGCGTGTTGGCCGGCATCAAGTAAGTAGAGGGCCATAAAACAGTAGCACTGGAGAGTCGCCATTGATGGCTCGGAAAAGGTCATACTATACTGCGTGGTGGCCTGCAGGCAGCGTTGAAAGTACGGTAGACCAACCATCGAACTCTGCTTGACGGACTGGGATTGGTCCCAATGAAGACCGAGGAGGCGAGTGTGCAGTCCAGTGTAATATATATACTGCATCGAGTATGCGGTGACGGCATCACGAAGTGGTGAGAAAGGCTCGGGGGATGAGGAATCCGGCACCCTGAGATCCTCGCGACTGACTATTGGCACCAATGGTTGCAGTCTGGTCCAGAATATGACCAACACTCGGTTGATTTGGGAAGGTGTAAGATTGCACTCCGTCGACGTTGTGTCCTGCAGTGCGTTGGGTGGGAAAGGGGACCAGTCATCCGGGGCCGGGCTGTGGCCCAGTGTCGTAGAGGAACACGCAAGCTGGGAAACCCCAGAACAGAACTTGTTGATGCGGGCAATAAACCCGAGCATGGAATCGGTCCGTTGGGTCGATGACTGCGATGGGGATGGGACCCCGACCCGTGGGCTCGGAGTATAGCAGCATGCAGATCCCGACGGCGAGTCAACCGTCGAGGCCACTGCCTGTCCATCCTGACTGACCAATGGCGAGGGGTGTCGGCCTTCCTGGCCTTGATTTCCGTGATTGTGCTGATTGTGCTGATTGCCTTGATCCTTGCTGGGGACGCGTGGGGCCGTCGAGGAAGACTGCCGGCTGCAGGGGACATTATTGGCAACACACTGCGGGCATGGCACGGTCGCTTCGCATCGGACACGAAGCTTCCGGCAAAGGTCACAGGCGCGAGTCACCTTCCGGCGTTTGGCCTTCAAAGGAGTGTGCAAGGACGAAAAATTGGAGAACATGGCTCGGCTGGTCCAGTGAAGATGGCAGGAAGAATGGATCAGGCCCGGAAGCGCCGCCTTTCGGATCCCGGAATGGCACGTGACCGAAATAAGCCAGGGCAGCCAATCGGAAGGGCTGGAAGGTATCGTTCCGGTCTTCGCAGTCGATCCGGAGACTGGGATTTCCAAGCATTGCGTCCATAACATCAATCTGGGAAGTATATAACGTGAAGAAAAGAAGACCAAGAGACGATGAGTCGCACTCACCATCCGCTGATTTACTTCTCACTCGTTACGTTCTCGCGGCCTTGCTGATGTCCACTATGGCCTCCCACACCGTCTTCCGCTTGCCTTCCCGCACCAGTGTGACCGACCTGGTTGCAGTAGAGGAACGAATCCCGTCAATTTCCAAGCATGAGGTACTCATCAAGGTCCGCGCAGTGTCGCTGAACTCCCGGGATATTCAAGTGGCCTCGGGAACATACCCCGCGTATGTCAAGGAAAACGTCATCCCCGGTTCCGATGCGGCAGGGGACATCATTTCGGTTGGGGAGGAAGTGCGCGATTTGGTCAAGGGGGACCGCGTGGTGGTGTCGTTTGACATTGCTCATATGTATGGGCCCCAGAAGGATTTCCTCACCGGCCAGGGGGGTGGCGTGGATGGCGTGCTCGCGCAGTATATTGCCCGACCCGCCTCCAGCGTCGTGAAAGTCCCGGCCAGCGCGCCGCAGAGTTACAGCGAACTGGCCTCCCTAGTTTGCACGGGCGTGACCTCCTGGAATGCTCTCTATGGGAACATGCCCCTGAAACCGGGACAGACCGTTCTGGTCCAAGGTTCGTCCGAGTCTCCACCCTTCTCTCACCATGTTCCTCCACTGAGCAATGCGGTTCCTAGGTACCGGGGGGGTGTCAATGACGGCGGTCGTGTTGGCTAAAGCAGCCGGAGCGACCACCATCGTCACCTCCTCCAGCGATGAGAAGTTGGAGTTTGTTCAGTCCCATTTTCAGCCGGACCACTGCATCAACTACCGCAAGACTCCCGACTGGGCATCCCAGGCGCTGGAGCTGACGGGGGGGAAGGGGGTGGATCACATCATTGAGATTGGGGGCATTGGAACCATTGAGCAGAGCATTCGGGCCATTGCGCCGGGCGGCATCATCAGCGTGATTGGATATCTCGCGAGTGTCGATCCTTCTCAACGGCCGGACGTGCCCCTTTTGGCGCTGCTGAAGAATTGCGTCGTCCGGGGTGTTCTGGTCGGGCCCCGGTGCATGCTGGAGGATTTGATGACGTTTGTCGATCGTCGGAAGTTGAGATTCCACATTGCGAAAGAGTATGCCTTTACGCGGGAGGATATCATCGCCGCCTATCAGGCCGTCGAGGCAGGGAAGCACGTCGCCAAGGTGTGCATTGTGATGGACTGGCTACGTGGTCCATGCCGTGAGCTATAGCCCGTGGATCAGGATAGAATTCTTTCCAATGAACCCCAGTGTCTGGTTAAGGTTCATCGGAATGCCCAGGTAGTCGGCGCACTGTTAACGAATCAAGTCAATGGCATCTGCGATGCTGATGACACCTTCGCTTGGTCTGTTCTACTGAGAATCAATCTAAGTGAATTGTGCCCGAATGCGCTCATCGTGTGATTGATCCAAGGGTCAAGCTATGCCTCTAGCTTGTATCAACGCCTTCCCGTAAGACTGAGTCGCTGCGCGCCTGTGAAATGCTTCTCGCCTGACCGAGATCCGAGGATTGCCGTCCAGGGTGCTAGGAATCTGTCCTTCAAGGCGCTGCAGACGGAACTGCGATAACAGCCATACTAAGATGTCTCCAAATACTGATGAACCTGCTGCGGGTTGTGAGTGGGATACTGGTGGATATAGGGTACCAGACGATGATATCAGGTGGCGCCCACGCCTAAAGGTTTAACCGGACCTCTTGGGCCCGGGTGATCCGGCTGCCCGACCGGCTTTCCGTCCGATGGAAACATATATCAGGTCTCTCTTTGCAGGGACGCCGCGGGGTCCGCGCCTCCTTTTATCTTCTCCCAAATCTTTCGCTCGAAGCTCACTCTCCATCTCTCCATCTCAATCGCTAACATGCCTCCGCCTCCCCCTCGCGTGCCCGACGGCTGGAAGGCCGAATTCGATGACCGATATCAGGAATGGTACCAATGCCCCTCTCCCCTTCTCCTCCTCCCTCTGCCGTGGGGTTCCAATTAATAGGATGTTGTCTAGGTATTATGTGAACCTCTTCACCGGTCGCTCGCAATGGGAACGCCCGGACCGACCTGCCCAGCCCGATGGCCAGGCTCCACCCCCCACGGGCCCCCCGCCCAGCTACGAGGCCGACTTCCAGGATCGCCCGGGGCAGCCCCGAGACCCCCGGGATCGACCGGATAATCGATACTCTCCGCGCCCATCGTCGCAGTCCAACTACCCCCCAACCCGCGATCGGGCCTATGGCTCCCCCCAGCCCCAATATGGGTACATCAACAACAACCCCTATCCCCCGCAATACGGCTATTCCAATCAATATCCCAACCAGTATTCCAACCAGTATCCCAACCAATACCCCAACCAATATCCCGCCCAGTACCAGAATCCCTATCCGCAACAACAACCACCGCCGCAGCAGAACCAGAAACACAAGAAAGGCATGGGCAAGATGGGGGCCGCCGCCCTGGGTGTCGGAGGTGGATTGCTGGGAGGCTTCCTGCTGGGGGAGGGCATCGAGGCGTTGGAGGACGATTTTGCCGGGCCACCACCCCCCGGCCCGGATTTTGACGACTTTGGCGGAGGGTTTGGTCCGTTCTGAGGCGTGACGTGATGAACGATAACTAGATGATAGAGATGGATGCCACCGTGATACTCCCAATAGAATGGTTTCTGCCTGTTGTATGCAAAAGACCTCAACCCCACGGACAGCAAGGGAGAGCCCCGCATAGAAATAGGGCAAGGACGAGCTCGCCTCATCGGAGATCTTTCACTGGCTCTCGATCAAGCATATGGGGGATCCAGTGGCCATCGCTCCCGCAGCATATTGATGTGAGCCACGGCTCGATGGTGACACAGAGGCAGCGAAAAGAGTAGCAGCCACCTCAATACAGACGGCACTAATGCAATCACCTGCATTCATCTTCTTGGCACAGAGGATGATCATCGCAAGATAAATCCCCTTCCACTCCCCCTTCTTCGTGTCGGTCCCTCAGGATGTCCGCCATGGCAAGCAAACCTGCCACGAACCCCAGCCTGTGGCAAGGGGGCACCGAGTCTCACGAGGCGGGACCGGTGCCCTCCCACGACCCGGAGGAGGTGCGCATCCAACACCTCCAGCAAGGCCATCGGCTCCTGCGGTCGCTGCGGCAGGCCGAGACCTGGATGGATCGCCGGTTCGGGGTCGAAGCCATGGGCATCGAGCGCGTGCCCGAGGACCAGCGACGCGCGCCGGAGCGGCTGAACATGATGTTGTTTTGGTTCTCGGCGTTGCTCGCGCCCGGGCTGATCCCCATCGGCATGCTGGGCCCAATCTTCGGCCTGTCGGTGCAGACGTCGATTCTCCTGACCGTGGTCGCCACCCTGATCGGATCCGTCCTGCCGGCCTTCACGGCGACGCTGAGCCCGCCCAGCGGCCTCCGGCAGATCGCCGTCGCGCGCTATGCCTTTGGCCTGGGGGGCGCCCGGCTCTGCGGCCTGCTCAACATCCTGGTCAATGGCGGGTACGGCGTCATCGCGGCCGTCGTGGGGGGTCAGTTGCTGGCTGCCGTCTCGGACGAGTCGATTCCGCTGGCCGCCGGCATCATCCTGCTCGTCAGTGTTGCCTTTATCGTGGCCTTTGCGGGCTTCACCATGATCCATCACTATGAACGGTATGCCTGGGCCGTGGCTCTGGTGCTCCTCTGTGTGACCTACGGCCAGGCGGCGCCGTATTTTCCCGCGGATCCGGGCCAACGTTGGGCCCGGGGCATCGACTACAGCGGCGGTTGTCTGAGCTACTTTGCCATCGTCTTTGGCGTCTGCTGCTCCTGGTGTACCATTGCGGGCGACTATTACGTGCACTATCCCCCCCACACCAGTCGGTGGCTCGTGTTTGGCCTCACCTACGGGGGCCAGGTGCTGCCCACCCTGTTTGTCTGCATCCTGGGCAACTACTTTGGCGGCATCGTGCGGACTCATGCGGACCTGGCCGCCGTCTACCACGAGGGGGGCGCAGGAGCGCTGATCCTGGCCACCCTGCGACCGTCGGGCTGGGCCAAAGTGGCCGGCATTCTGTTTGCGTTGACCTTCCGTCAGTATTGATGTATAATTCCCAATGGCGTCTCAACTAACCCGTGTCTGGTCTCTGCAGTAGCCAGTCTGATCATCGACATCTACTCCAGCGCACTCTGCCTGCAGCTGTTGGGGCGACCCTTTCGCGCCGTGCCGCGCATGGCCTGGTGTGGCCTGGTGTCCCTGGTCGTGCTGGCCCTGGCCTGGGGCGGTCGCCATCAGCTCGAGGACATTCTCAATGACTTCCTGGCCCTGTTGGGCTATTGGACGCTGGCCTTTGGTCTCATCCTCGCGATCGAGCACTTCTGGTTCCGACCCCGGTTAGGGGGATACGACCTTGAGGCGTGGCAGGACCCCAAGCGCCTGCCGGTCGGGATGGCGGCCACCACGGCCTTGCTCCTGGGTATGGGATTCTCGTTTGTCGGCATGGATCAGACCTGGGTATGTGGCTGGTTTCCTTTCCTCAGCGCCCGACTAACCCGGGGGGATAGTATATTGCGCCGGCGGCCAAGAGGATTGGCGCTTACGGGGGGGATGTCGGGGATTATTTGGTGCTGGCCTCGGTGGGAGTCTGTTATCCGCTGTTTCGGACGCTGGAAATCCGGGTGGTCGGGCGGTAATACGGGATACAGAGTAGCGAAGCGGAGGACGGCGTCGTCATGGCTCATGGATCTGACGAATTGTGCCATCTTGGGTTACCAGGGAGACCCCAGGATCTTGGCCATTTCGGACGATGACCAGTCCGATTCGATATCTGACTGTTCCCGCCGGTCAGGCTGCTGCGTACTTCTCATGTTAAAATGAAACGCCGTAGAGAACCAGAAATCAACTCCGCTGGGCCTGCCCTAAGTCCACCTGAGAAGGAACTTCATCCCCCGCTTCCGAGCATTCGCGCGCGAAACTGCTCAGGTGTAACCGGCCACACCATCTCAGAAAATAAAACAACACACGTAGACCGGGTCGGACGCGATGGCGCCTTTGGTGCAACGTGTAGCGCCGATCCTTCGCGGAAAACCCCCGCGGCTTTCGTAATCCGCCTCGGTCCCCGTGCCTTTTTCGCTGCTCGCCCCGTTTCCGGGGGTGGCCCTTCAGCCCTTATCCTCTCTCTTCCCGGTCCATTCGATTCATCACGGACGCAGGATCTTCCACATGGCAGACATCGGGCAGACGGAGTCTGGACCCCTCCCGCCGCCGACGGAGAAGGGCCTCACCCCCTCCACCGCGGTATCAAACGACTCCAGCGATGAGGGCCGGCCCACGGCGTTCTCCTCGGTCGTCCAGGAGATTCTCTTCGTGGCGGTGGCCACCATGGCCATCGCCATGTCGTCGCTGGTCACCGGCACTACCACCGTCCTGACAGCCCAGGTGCAGCGCGATCTGGGCATGTCCACCGCCGAACTGGCCTGGCTAACCGGCTCGTCCTCGTACGTCCATTTTCCCCCACCCAGCATCCCACCTACATGGGGACGCTCTGCTAACGGGGGCACCCCCTCTAGCCTGGCGTGTGGCTCATTCCTGCTCTTCTTCGGCCGCCTGGCGGACCTGTTTGGGCGGAAGTCCCTCTTCATCGGCAGCATGGGCCTCTTCACGGTCTTTGCCCTGGGGGCGGGATTCGCCCAGACGCCGCTGCAGCTCGACATCCTCAACGGGCTGCTGGGTCTGATGTCGGCCGCGTCGGTGCCGCCGGCGCAGGGCATGTTGGCCAATATCTACCAGCGGCCTTCCAAACGGAAAAATCGCGTGTTTGCCTGTTTCAGCGCAGGCAATCCCCTAGGCTTCGTGTTTGGGAGTATCTTCTCCGGCATCGCCACGCAGCTGTTCAACTGGCGGGCTAGCTTCTTCCTCCTGGCCATCATCTATGTCGTGGTCGTGGCCATCGCGCTGTTCACGGTTCCGGCTGACCATGGGGCCAAGGAGCCCTGGTCCCTGCAGGCCTTGAAGAAATTCGACGCGGTTGGCACCATTCTCACCATCGCCGGCATTGGGATGTTCTCGGGGGCCTTGAGGTGTGTTCTGTTCAGTGAACTGTCTGGTCCCTGCGCCTCGACTAACCGGGCACGACTCTAGTCTCGGCTCCGATGCACCTCAGGGGTGGAAGACGCCGTACGTTCTGGTGCTGCTCAACCTAGGCGCTATGCTCATCGTCGGCTTCGTGTTCTGGGAGCGGTGGTTTGAGTATCCGCTCGTGCCCATGTTCATCTGGCGCGATCGGGACTTCTCGCTCGTCATCGTCGTCCTGTTGCTGGGATTCCTGGCCTTTCCAATCATGACCTTCTGGATCTCGCTGTTCCTGCAGGAGATCCGACACTACTCCGCCCTGCTGGTGGCCGTGCACCTGCTCCCCATGGCCATTGGCGGGATCCTGGTCAACATCGTGGCCGGGCTCATCATGCACCGGGTGCCCAACACGCTGCTGATGGCCATCGGGGCCACGGCCTACACGGGGGCGTTCCTGCTGATGGGCCTGCAGCATTCGGACAGCAGCTACTGGGCCTTCATCTTCCCGGGGCTGCTGCTGGCGGTCGTGGGGGCCGACTTTGAGTTCTGCGTGGCGAATATGTACGTGATGAGCTCGCTCCCGCCGGGGCAGCAGAGCATTGCCGGCGGGATTTTGCAGACGGTGACCAAGCTGTGTGTGACCATTGGGATGGGCATCAGCACGGCCATCTATGATGCGGTGCAAGCCGGGGGGACGGCCACGCACGGGTACTTCCAGAACGATCCCATCGAACCGTACAGCGCGACCTTCCTCTATTGCGCCGGCATTTCCACCGTGGGGATTCCGCTCTGTGCCTTTTTGCGCATTGGGACGCAAGGCCATGCAGGCGCGGGCAAGGCCAGTACGACGGGCAGTGCGGGAGACACGCCAACGGACAGTCCCAGCGTCAGCGGGGGCAGTCATGGCAAGGGCGGGGAGACGGAGGTTTGATCAACACTAGGTACATAGTCGAAAACAATAGTACTCCGTATTTTTGCCATGCACCGTATGCCATCCTGTGCCACTGAGTGAAGTGGGAAGAATATCACAGAGCCAGCCCGTGACGTCAGCGGGGAAGGACTCCGGCCTCAAGTTCCCAACAAACATCCAGACCATGTCGCCCATCGGCACCAATCAATTCGGAGGCATTGGAGTAGCACAAGGTACGACTCCGCCCGGGGCATCAATTCATCCACTGGTATCTGCGCGGATTGGTCGAGCGCGACCGAGGGAGTGCGTCAGGGCAATTGTGGGCACAGACCCTACGTCATCCGCCCCGTCGTCATTCCCAGATATCGTGAATCCATCGCATTTTCATCGCATCTCTCCTCTCTCCTCTTTCATCTCTCACGGCGCTGTGCACTCTCTCATCCCCTTTCATCAAGTCATGTCGCTCAATTCCGCCACGGCTGGCCTGCAAGGCCGTCCCCCCAAGCTGGCCGGCGACCTCAAATCGACCGTGCAACAGGCCCCCAGCACCGCCACGCAAACCGCCGGGCAAGTCACCGACTCGGTCCTCCCCGGAGAATATCCTGGGGATCCGAACCATATCCAGGACGCTCAGGGCGACGACACCAACAATGGCCCCATCTTGGCGCCCCTGCAACAATGGTTCCGACAATCCCTGCCGCGCCTGCTCGATCGCTTCGAATCCCAGCTGATGTGGCTCCTGTCCTGGATTCTCCCCGCCCCCCGACAAGCCCAACTCTACGAGGAGGCCGCCAAGCGCCCCGCCAGTACGACCTTCCTCATCTGCCAGCTGATCTGCTGCGGCGTCCCCTTGCTCGTCTTCCTCGCCGGCGTCTTCGTCTTTGCCGCCGTCGCCATCGTCCTCTGGGCCGTGCTGTCGCTGCTCATCCTGGGGCCGGTGTTGCTGGTCGCGAGTATGCTGGGCGTGTCCCTCTGGGGCTGGGGGTGGATTTTCTACGGTCTGATCAAGTGGATCGATCAGAAATATCTGGGCGGGTTGATCTCCCGGTTCTGGCTGTCGCGGATGCCCGCGGGGGAGACCCAGGAGACGGAGCAGGACGGGGGACAAGGAGAGGCAGGGAAGAAGGAGGATTGAACATGATGGGATGTGGACAGTTCATTTCCCGCAGTTTTGGATCAGTGTTTCCGCGTTGATATCCCGTTCTATTCTGTTTTCGTGCTGCAGTATGATCATTGGTTCTGGTATGGAGATTCAGCGTTAGGAAATTGCCACTAGTTTAATACTATATATCCTCTGCACGACCCAAGACGGTACATAGGGTCCCAAAGACGCGAGTTCACACATCGAATTCCACCCGAATTCTTTCGATTCTCAACTCCCCGGCTGATCCCCTGTGATGACCGCGCTCGGCCGCGGGATGGCAGCTGTGTGTCCGGTCCGCACGAGCACCCCATCAGCGCCAATCGCCCACACCTGCACCTCGTTGCTCACGGACACGGCGAGGTAGAGGAACCGGCCATCGGGACTGACGGCACGCCCGGGCCGCTCGGCAGGTCCTCCGGGAGAACATCCACGGTCCCGGTCGACTCCAACTCCCCACCCACGCGGTAGGCGAAGATCTCGAGGACCGGGCGGTACTCATAGTTGATGTAGAACACGGGCAGGGTCGGGTGGAAGGCCGAATACCGGGGCCCGCTGCCACGAGGCGCATCCCAGATCCCTTGTCGACGCCGGGACCGCGCAGCCGTGTCGACCACCAGGGTCACCAGCTGGTCCTTCTCCATATCGCCCTCGATGAGGAAGGTTCCGTCGGGAGACGAAGACACCGAGTGCAGACACGAGGGCGGCGCCAGGGAGCCAGGGACAGCGTGGACGTACACGTCGCAGGGCGGTCCGAGACAACCCGCCGCATCGAGGGGGAACAGCACCGTGGTGGCATCGTCGTATCGCTGCTCCATGTGGTAGCCGGATTGGGCGTCGCCCGCAATGCCCGCCGGCTGGGTGCCGTAGCTGGGCCAGTGGCCCAGCTCAGTCAGGTCTCCTGTCGGGCAATCGATCGAGAAGGCATACACCTGGCCAGCGTTGGCCACCTCGTCCGTAGCGTACAGGACGCCGCGCCGATGATCCACAGCCAAACTGCCCACCTTCAACCCCGGGACGTGCGACGCGACGCGAACCAGAGCCCCGGTCTCGGGCTCAATGCGGAGCACATGGAGACCCTCATGCTTGGCCGGGTGGGGCATAACAAAGCTGCCGACATAGACATACGTCGTGGAGGTTCGTCGATAGGCGGGCCATGGTGCGGACAATGCTGCTGGGTAGGACGGAGGGGGTGGAACGGACCGCAACCACATGAGGCTTGATATTCCTCGGAATGTCAAGCGTCGGCAACCGGAGTTCCTCGCCTCGGAGAGGTCGGCTGTGGCGAGTCCTGCCTCGCAGCACGTAGCCTGACAGACCAGGGGCTCGTCGTGGGGAAGGATCATAGCATCGTGCAGACGATCGGATGCTTATAATTACCCCGCAAATCCCCCGCATCGTTGAGATCCATCCTGCAGGACGATCCCCGCTGCATCCCCAGCGCCTGCAACCAGGATAGTCGACATGTCCAAGCCCCAGCTCCATGTGCACCACGATGCCGTCCCATGGCCTCGTGGGCATGACTACTGACCCCACCAGACCACGTCGTTCTACGGTCAGAATCAGTTCAAGGACCGGTTTGGCACGGTCGACAACGGGGTCCTCGAGATCTCGGCCCAGTGGCAAAACCGGCATCCAACAGGCGATGGCCGTGGGCGAGCTCATCGGGCTGGCGGTGGCCGGGGCGCTGGCCGATCGCTGTGGCTGGAAGCCCATCCTCTGTGTCATGATGGTCTTCCTCACGGGGAGTCTCTTTTTGTTGGCCTTCGTGCAGAACCTGGGCATGATGGTGGCGGCCATGCTCTTGTGCGGTCTGCGCTGGACCCGGAGGAATCCCCATTCGCACGGGTGCTGATGAGTGATGACCCTAGGGATCCCGTGGGGGGCCTTTCAGGCCGGGTGCATTGGAAATATCCTCGTTGCAGTGCAGACGCCGGGACTGACGTGCGTGCCCGGACAGCGTGGCGGGTTCCCTTTCTGGTGCAATTCGTTTGGCCCGTGCCTCTCCTGATCTGCTTTATCCTCGCCCCCGAGTCTCCCTATTTCCTTGTGCGCAAGGGCCGCTGAGACGAGGCTCGCACCACGCTGCGTCGCGTGCGGCATGAGGATACCACCGATGAGGAGATCGAGCAGGCCATTGCCCGCATCGACTACACCAACCAGATGGAGGCCCAGGTCCAGGAGTCCAGCAGCTCCCTGGAATGTTTCCGCGGCAAAAACGTGTGGCGCACCGAAATTGTGAGTACGACGCTCGTGCTGTCGGGGTTCACGCACATGCTGACCGGGCCAGATTTGTATTGTCCAAATGGCCCAGACATGGGGCGGCAATGGCATCAATGTGCAGACCGTGCAGTTCCTGGAGCAGGCCGGGCTGTCGGAGCAGGGCGCCTTCGACCTGAACCTCGTGCTCAACTCGCAGTACCTCACCTTTGGCCTCCTCTGCATCTTGGCTCATGACCAAGTTCGGCCGGGCGACCATCTTCCTCACCGGGCGGATTCTGAGCGACTTGTTTCTGGTGGCCATCGGAGTGCTGGGCTGTATCCCGCAGAGCACGGCCGTCGGGAATGCCGTCGGGTCCCCACTGGTGGTGACCACGGTCATCTACATTTCTACCGTGGCGCCCTCGTCCTATACCATTATCGTGAGCCCCTCTCTCCCTCTACCGTATGGTGCCTGGACTTACCCTCCAGCCGAATGACCCTCGAGCCAGCGGGCCGATGGATGCCGGATCGTCCTGTATCGCTCGTCGATGGCCGTCACCAGGTCATGACACATAATGTCTCCCAGAGGACGGCTGCCATCGTAGCTGTTGATCCATCGGCCTTTGGGTAGGGCCTGCAGATGGTCCGTCGAGCCATAGGCACAGCACGCACCACGCCTGTTTCATTCGCGTGCATGTCCCCGCTTCACATACGCACCTGGGGCGCCACCAGAATCACCTTGGGCATGGTCCCGAGCTCCATCTTGCGCGCGTAGAACTGCAGCGACCACAGCGCGTGGCGCGAGCAGGAAAATCCCCCATGCAGCCAGTACAAGACGGGATACCGCTCGCCATTGATGTCCAGATCATCGTAGCCTGGCGGCAGGACCACCAGGTAGGAACCCTGTGCGCCCGGACCGCGCATGGGCTGGCTGTAGAGCTCGTAGGTGACGTTTTCCGGCAGCTCCCAGACGTCGGTGTCGATCCACATGTGGTTGTAGCAGTCGAGAAGGCGTTTCGGCGGGGTCCATCGTCCTGCCAGGGTCAGTGTTTCGAGCATGACATGTGAATTCAGGTAGCACTCACCGCCGTAAACGGGGATGGGAGGGTACATTTCGTCGGAGTTGATATCGGCTGTCATTGTGGGAATGATGGGGATCTGGGTAACAGTGGAGGGGTGGAGGGGTGGCTACTAAGAAGTTCCGATGCGGGGGGGGGAAGAGTACTTTAACGGCCTCATGCGGACATGCGATGGCGAGCATGGGGTCGAGGCCGGAGACGTCGCTTCTGCAGGCGACGCTCGCCTCGGTAGGCGACAGTGAATGAGCTTCAAACTCCCATGTGGCCCGGTTCTGCTTGCCCCGGGACTCCTTGTCAACTTCGATCCATGATTGCATGGCAATGGTGGTTTAGCCATATGGTCGGGGTATCTCGTTTTCTTTCTCTCGGTGTCTTGGACCCTCTTCTCCGACTGGTTTCCTGTTTCTTAAAGCACGGGTTTGAGGATATGGTCGTCTATCAAAAAAAGGCTGGCAGGAATAGCGAGTCCCAATCCTCGGAGCCTACCGGCAGTGGTTCCTACATGTCCTTCGGAGTGCTCCTTGAATGCGTCGTTCCCTTCACCGAAGATATATATCCGCACGGGATGTTTGCCAGCCAAGCATCGGCAAGCATCGGCAGGCCGATGTGGCTTGCCGGCCGGGAGCACCCGAGATATACAGCACTTCAACAATATGTCTTGCTGCTGCTAGTTTATACAAGCCAGCAGGGTGTGTTATCCGGATTCCGTGCCCTTGCTGCTACCTGGTTGCCACCAGAACTCCACCCGGACCTGGGATGCAAGCAACCTCACCGACGAGGCACTCCGGCGCATGCCCCTCTTTTCCCCCTCACCGTCCACTGCTTACGTACCAGATACTCGGCAAGTGGGGCGGCCAGAAGAGTCTGGTTCCCGCTTGGCTCAAGAATTTTCACACCCGGTTCTCCCAGCGCCAATGACCGACGGATGGCTGCACGCCAAAGGGTCAAGCATTATCAGATGACTCGAGGATAATAATGGCCGGGGCCCATGTCCCAGGCTTGGCTTCGTGCCTAGTGGCCGCGGAAGTTGGATGGACTAGCAGACAAATCAGCAGCACACAATCCGATGCCCTTACCCTCTCAAGTAATACTATCGCTGCTCTCTTTGCCCCGCGGAGAAGAATTGGCTCTGCCAGCCTGGCCAACCAGGGCCTCGGGCATTATCGGAGCTGGGCCTGGTTGTTATCGGACGATCTGAGGCACGGCCGGGACCGGGGTCACCTTAGGGCTCCGGCGGCATTTGTCCTCGCCTTAAATGTCTTCCCCACCCCGTGCCTGCAGGAAAAGCGTTCCGTCGACTCTCTCACGCCCAGACCAAGCCACTGGGAGGCATCTGGTCTGACATCTGCGAGATGGTGGAAAGCACGGCCCCGAACGCCCCCCACAAAGCGGAGAAGACGGTGGTGGCCGACAACGAGGTCGAGACGGGGTCGCAGCGGGCCTACCGTCCGACCCGCTGGCAGAGTAACTTGACCATCCTGAGCTGCGTGAGTAGACCCTACTGAGGCTATGGACGGAATGTGGAGGCTGGAGCTAACCACCCTGGCGGCAGTATATCGCCAACTTCAGCGATGGGTTTCAGAACCAATTGGCCAACCCCACCAATGTCATCTTCAAGAAACTGCTGGGGTCCGCCGGCTACCCCGCCGAAATGAAGACCCGCATCAGTAACTCGCTCCTCATCGGGGCCATCTTGGGCGTGGTGGTGTTGGGATACGTCTCCGACATGGCATCCCGGCGGGCGGGCCTGCTCTTCACCTCGGGGCTGGTCACGATCTCGACCCTGATGGCCGCCCTGGCGCTGCAGGTGCACCCCTCCTACAACATGCTCTGGTACTTTGTCATCGTCCGGGGCATCTGTGGCTTTGGCGTGGGGGGTGAATACCCGCCCAGTGCCGCCGCCGGGTTGGAAGAGTCCGACGATGTGCGTCCCATCCCCATGGTGCAGCCGAGAAATCGAATGTCCAATCTGACTGAATGCCCATAGTTCAAACGCCGTGTTCGCGGCCCCGTGTTTGTGTCCTTCACCACTCTGATGGCCACCACCGCGGGCCCCATCCTGATGATCATCTACCTGATTTGCCTCAAGGCCACGGACAACAACCTCGCCGTCACCTTTCACGCCATGTACTCCATTGCCACCATCCTGCCCGCCATCATCATGGTGCTGCGATTCTTCATGACCGACTCGACCCTGTACCACAACTCCAACTTCAAGCGCCAGCGGAAACCCGCCCGCTTTTACTGGGTGCTGGTGAAGCGCTACTGGAAGCGCCTGTTCACCACCTCGCTGGCCTTTTTCCTGTACGACTTCATCAACTTCCCCAACAGCATCATGTCGAGCTCCATCATCTCCTCGCTCGTCAAGGACGGTAACATCCAAACCACCGCCATCTGGCAGGTCATCCTGGCCGTGCTCCCGGTGCCGGGCGTCATCATCGGGGCGTGGCTCACCAACGCCATCGGCCGTCGGGGCACCGGTCTGGTAGGCTTCGGCGGATACGTCGTCCTGGGCTTCATTATCGGCGGCACCTACGCCAAGCTCTCCAAACACATCGCCGCGTTCGTGGTCCTGTACGGCCTGCTGCAAGCCTTTGGGCATCTGGGCCCCGGCGCCACGATCGGACTGATCTCCACCGAGTCCTTCCCAACCGCCATGCGCGGCATGGGATACAGTGTGGCCACGGCGTTTGGACGCACGGGCGCAGCAGTGGGCACGCAATGCTTCACGCCGCTGCAGGACGCCGCGGGCGACAGCTCGACGTTCTATCTGGCCGGCGGGGTGGCCATCCTGGGGATGATCGTGTATTGCTTCCTGCCGGAGAGCGGCAAGCTGGATCTGAAGAAGGAGGATCGCGAGCTGGAGGAGTACCTGGCTCTGCATGGATTTGCCATGGAGAAGGAGTATTAAAGGGGGAGATGAGGGGTTGCGGAGGATGGCAGTGGGTTGGGTGCTGGCTGAAAAAGAACTATGAGATATGATAATGACGTCGCGATATAATAGATAATCTCGCCCATTGATGGCTTGACTTTTCATGTCAGATCCGATATGATTGTTTGTTTTCGTAGTAAAACGCCTGGGTAATTATCAGTTCCCAATGCCACGGTTGGAATGCTTCCTGGCACGGCTCGGTACCCGGCAGGGGACTGTGCTCTAAGTCATATTCCTTTATCGCGATCTGCTTTTCGGCTGTACCGGGTATCAAAGTAAGCATCGATTATTTCGCCAGGGCTGCTGCGTGCATCTCCGGATCCTTTCCGATGTTTGCGACCGAAAAAAAAGAAATGGCGGTGCGGACCCGGTCACTACATGAGAAGACGGAGCCGCTTGGAGTATTGGCAGATTTATTGGCTGGCTACAATCAAACACACATATCCTACAATGAGGAGTGACATGTATCATTCCAGAGGGTTTGATGAAAACCATTTAAGTATACGTGGTTGGCACGGCCGGGTACGAATCCTCGCCGTAGGTCGCGTTGAGGGTGACGCTGCCCGAAAGCGAGCCATCTTCCAGCCGGACCCAGGTGGCTAACTGCTTCTCCAGGGTTTTCTCGTCCAGGAGGATTTGTCGGGCACCCCGGGTCCAGGAGCCATAGCCACCATAGCCACTGTGGCGGCCAAAGCACAGGTTCAGACCGTTGCCGGTGAGATTCATCCCGGGGAGCCTGGAGTCCCATTTGAAGCACCTGACGGGGTTAATCTATGACACGACGTTGCTGGATGGGACTTTGTGGGATTTCAAGAATGCCTACCAGTCATCACCGTGGTCGTGTCCGCTGAACGTTGCCAACAGACCCTTGGTGTTGAGCAGCGCCTCCATGAAGGGAATGTCCTGGCCGGCATAGCTGAAGACGGTGCCCGACACATCGCCCTGTCCGCTGGCGGATCCCTGCTGGTCCAGAGGGTCGTCGGCGTTGATGCCCGGCTCCTCATTTTCGTTGACGCCTTGATTTTGGAACGCCAGCATGGCATTGACGGGGATGTGGTAGAAGGCGATAGAGGGAATCACTTTGCCGTACTGTTGGGTGAGGTTGGCGTTGGTGTCGACGAACCAGGTAACTACCTGACTGATCGTTAGTAGAGCATTCTAGACGATGCGCAGTAGACGTGTAAATCCGACGAACCGACTCATCCACCCAGCAGGGCTGGGGCACTTCGTTCCCATCTGCGAGCTCCTGATAATAGTTCCCCCCACGACTGTCAAAGAACCACAGGATCACGGCCGGGGTGGTCTGGGAGGCATCCGACGGGTACACGGGCAGATAGTAGTTCGACACGCCGGCCAGCTTTCCGGCGACCATGCTGGCCGTCAGACTGTTCGGGTACGACTGCTCTCGCTCCAGGATGGCGTTGCGCGACAGGTTATAGTCGCTGTCGTGGTTGCCGTAGGTGGAGGCCCAACGTAGGTTCCGTTCCACGAGCGGGGCGACGATCTCGTCAATGTACTCGGTGGCATTGGAGAGGAAGGTGTCTTCGCCCGTGATAAGGTCGCCATTCAAGATGACCAGCTGGGGGCTTTCGTGGTCGAGAACGGTGTTCATCACGGCGCGACTCTCGATATCCTGCATCGGTCCCCAGTCGGTATCCTCCGCTACCATCGGGGTCAATCATTTTCACTTCCTTCCAAGGCTGCGGACTGCTTACCCTCCCCATAATGTAGGTCCTCAAACACCGTCAGGTGAAAGGTGCCATTGCTGGTAAACCGAAGGCGTGTGTCCCCGACCCCTCGCTTTCTCGACTCGGGCAAGGCATGCAGACTGCCAGCCAGGCAGGAAGCCAGCAGAAGGGCGCTGCGCAACATGATGTCAAGGGGAAAATGAACCATGAAATATGCACAACGCAACCGTCCGTAGATCCTGCCCCTATAAATATCCCGGCCGAGGCACAGGTCCTTGGATTGAAGAAGCGGGGTGGGGCGAGCATTCCGATGCCCTGACGGCACGTTCCAGCGTTGCCCTCGTTGACAGGTCTGAGCAGCCGACCCCGGCTTTAGTCCAGTGGAGATGGAGGCTGCCAGTCCCGGACCCCGCTCGAGATTGACTGGATAGTTGAGCGCGGGTCGAGTCGGCTAGAGCTGGGCTTGCCGAAGCAATTGCCACGTGCTGCAGACAGGGGCAGACCGTGGAGCCAACGTGCGGTGCCTATCCACACTCTCTCTCTCTTATAATGTCGTTCAGTCTGGTTCCTGGAGAGACTAGTTCCTCGTGGTGCCTCGTGCTGCCTCGTTAGACTGACATGGTTTGCGCTTCACTGAATGCACTAGGTGCTCTTGTTCAGGCATGTATTCACTAGAGTTGAGTGCTGTCGGGTTGATGATGTGAATGCTCAGCTGATCTCTTTCACACATGGCTGGTTCATTCATCTTCAGTGGTTGCGACCGTCTTCGTCGGTACACCAGAACTGATTGCAGGGGTGAATCGATGTGAGCTGACCTGCCCTCACCATCCCTGGTGCTGAGCATGATTGTGTCTGCGTGCGGCGAGTATAACACCCAATATATACTGCTAGTCGACAGGAATAGGGCTTGGCTTGGAATCCGACTGAGTCAGTCTGGCCGACTCTTATGAGCAACACGAGGGGCGGCATGGTCCAAGCCCTACAGGAGCTGAGGAACCCGGCTGGAACCGTCCAAGGCCGACCGGGGGAAATGCAGGCTTGAAAGGAGGCAGCAGGCGACCGTGCTTACCCTGGTGCCAGTCACCACAACCGCTCCCGGCAACGCCGACTGCCACTTTCCCCATTCACGTCTGGAACCCCCTTGGCACCATCAGGGACGCGGTGGCGTCATTGGGGCCAACAAAGACTTGACAGTTGCTGGGACCCGTTCGGTGAGGCCATCAGATCTGGGAACCCAACTTTAATGGCAAAAAAAGCTGACTGATTTGCTGTGACCCACGCGGAAAACTGATAAGCCCGCAGAACCTGCGCCGCTAGACTGCAACTAGAGCGTCCCTCGTCATTTTTGCCCTTATCACGCCATTTACGGGCCAATCGTGCCAATCGTGCCAATCATCCCATCCGCTGCCAGCTTCCCACGCCCTCGTTTAAATATCGGAAATCTCTGCTGCAGGGCCCGTCGATCTCTGCACCCGATCTCCCCAAACCTTCTTCGCGAACCATGACGGCCCCGATGTATGCCGACGAGAAAGCCCCCCGGACGCCCGCCGACGTCGCCGAGTTGTCCTCGGATGAGTCCAACGCTGCCGACATCTTCAATGCGCTGGTGACCGAAGGTATGTGCTTTTGGACAGCTGAGGGATTCCCCTTGCGACAGATTCTGATGCCGTGGCCGCGATTCCCTAGACCACCAACATGAGATCAAACTCCGCACCATGTCCTGGCAAAAGGCCGCGTGGTTACTTGCGGGAGAGCAAGTCTGTCTGGCCATCATGGCCCAGACATGGTCGCTGTCGTAAGTCGTTGCCTAAGAAATGCTGCAGTCCATCGACTGACATCGGATCTTCCCTCCAGCGTGCTCGGCTGGGTCCCCGGCATCATCACCATGGTCTTGTCCGGCATCCTCTTCTGGATCACCTCCACCACCATGCACCGGTTCATCATGAAACATCCGCAAATCAGGGACATCTGTAGGTTCTCGTCGGGCCCCGGAGAGACGGACATCCTCCCCCATGCTGACCGACCAGGCGACTTTGGCTACTATGCCTTCGGGAACAGCCGGATCGCGTACATCTTCGCTGGCTTCATGCTGCTGGCCAACAACATCCTGCTGATCGGATTCCACATCCTGACCGGCGCCAAGATCCTCGACACCTTGTCAGATCACTCCTTGTGCACCGTGTCCTTCTCCGCCATCTGCATGGTCATGGGCATCATCATTTCCGCCCCCCGGACGCTGCACCACGTCTCGTTCATGTCCATGTTTTCGTGTACGTGCTGGACGGCCTCCTTCTGGTGTGGGGAGAATGCGCGCTAACGGTCACAGCGGCCTGTATGGCCATTGCTATCCTGCTGTTCCTCATCTACGCCGGCATCGAAAATGCGCCGGGGGCCGGGTACAACGGGAACTATCCCACCGACGGCCCGGTGCATACCTACGCCTTCCCCTTGCCCGGCACCACCTGGGTCAACTGCCTGAATGCCGTCCTGAACATCACCTTCCTCTGGGTGCCCCAGATCCTCTTCCCCAGCTTCATCGCCGAGATGGAGCACCCGGAGGAGTTCAACAAGTCGCTGGCCGTCCTGGTCGGCATCTCCACCATCCTGTTCATTGTCCCGCCCGCCATTGGATTCCGGTATCTGGGCCAATATTCCACGGCGCCGGCCTTTGGGAGTCTCGCCACGGCGGCCTACAAGAAGAGCTCCTTCGGGTTCGTCATCGTGCCCACCCTGTTCATCGGCGCCATCTACGCCAATGTCACCGCCAAATTCATCTACTCCCATCTCATGGGCGCCTCCAAGCATGCGCACAGCAACACCGTCATCGGCTGGGGGGTCTGGGGACTGGTCATGGCCTTCATCTGGGTGCTGGGCTTCATCTTCGCCGAGGTCATTCCCAGCATGGGGGACTTCCTGTCCCTGCTGGGGGCCGCCTTTGATTCCTTCTTTGGCTTCATCTTCTTTGCGGTCGCATATTGGCAACTGTACAAGCGCAAGCTCTTTGACGGGCCCGGGCGGACGGTGATGACCGTGATCCACCTTTTTGTCCTGGCTTGTGGCCTGTTCTTGCTGGGTCCGGGCCTGTATGCGGCCGTGGAGGCCATCATTGCCGACTATTCGGGGTCGGTGTCCCCGGCGTTCAGTTGTGCCAGTCTAGGGATTTGAACCAGTTAGTCCAGAGCCCGTTTTCGCTTCCAATGATATCCCACCGTGCGGTATGAGTCTCTTGTAGTATTCGCTAGCTACCATGCAGCCTCCATTCGGCGAGGACCGTCTGGTCACTCACCAATGAATTTCCTGTCCTGAAACATTTTCATCGCCCCGCCGATGATCTGCTGCCGCAATAATATAATAGGCTTTCCCGGAGAGGCGCTGAATCAATGGTTGAGTTTCGCTCCCCGCTTTTGCATAGAGTCCCCATTGTGTAGCGCTCCAGAACCACGCTATGGTGGAGACGAGCCACCAACCCAAGTACTACGATGCATAAGATCGTTCCACTTTAGATGGACAATAAATGAACAGAACCCAATCCGGAAGATCATTGGTCGATCCTGGGTCCGGTCAGTGTGAGGTTGCCATTGGCCGAGCGCGCGCGGTTCGATACAACTATACACATCAGGGATAAAGGGTAGACAAGAGATGGTGGTATCAGATATACAATGGCTATAAACCCAAAGAAATATGAGGTAAACCGCCTACTCGCCCGCCGACACCTGAAACGTCCGATGAACACTGACATGATTCCGCACCTGCCAGGCCTCCACATCTGGGTTCAACACCTCCTGGCTGCTATTAGCCTCACTCAACGGACTCCGCGCCAGCGGCGACGACACCGTCGTCACGGTCAGATTATTCAACTTGTCCGGAACCAGATCCGGACGCCAGTAGCTGGGATCGCGCGAGCCTTTCTTCGACGCGTCGCCCGTCAGGCTGGACAGGGGATACGGGCCGCCACTGGGTTTGCCGCCCCGGCCGTGACGCCCGTAGTAGGCGTTGCCGTCGAGAAACCATCGGAATAACGCGCGCAGGGTGACGAGACTGCCGGCCGTGATGCCGAGGCCGGTTTCCATGATGGACCAAACGGCGATTTGGTACGTGGAGTCTGTGGGGATTAGACATGTTTCGCTTTGCGCGAGGGTTTTGGACTCACAGAGAAAGTTGATGTCTTCGTAGTTGTGGAGGAAGGGGAGCCGGATAATGACCGCGACGCTCGCCCTAGGAACCATTAGCAATGGGCACGGGGGTGAGTCAAGATTGATAGCCACGTACACCGCTCCTAGGCTCAGAATCCCTCCCAGGGCAATTTTCGTCCGGTCGTTCATTTGCAGACGCCAAATCAAGAACATGGGCAGGATGCCCAGCGTGAGATCACAGAAGATGGTAATGCCACTATACAAATAGGCAATGGCCAGGAGAACCCGGACGGGCTGGCAGGTGCCGGAGTGCGTTAGATCGACACGCAGCCAAAAGTAAGACACCGGACGGCAATCCAGCAAAAGGACCAGCCAGAACATCAGTCCGATGGCAATGACAACCCCGATAATGACCCACAGGACGATGCGATGCATGCGGCGCACCGTCAGCCGCAGCAGGGCGAGGGCGATGGAGATCTTGGCCACGGCGGAGGACCAAAGATATAACATTTGTCCGAGCCACCACCACTACATATTTCCTGCTGTTAGCTCAGATGTCGCGAGGAGAGGGAAATCTCTCGTACCAGCAGCGCTTTCTCGTACGTGTTTAGATCCGTAAAGTCCTCGTTCTTATGGCCGATGCCGTTCTGGGATCCAATGATGCAGCAGACATCTAGGAAGATAAAGAGGGCCTGGTTGGGGTCAGCATCGGATCGCAATCGACATCACGACCTGGGGAGATTATACCAGAGCGACCATCATCAGCGCATCATCCCAGCCAAAGGCCCGCACCAGATAGACCCGGACGAAGATGCGCAACGCCACGGCAATGGTGGCCACACACATCATTACCACCGACACCACGAAGATGGCCAGGCTGTGGCCCACCAAGGGCATCGACGAACTCATGGTGACGCTGAGATGGAAAGATCTGAAGGGCAAAATCCTTGCAGATGGTGTTTCAGGTCATTCTCGACCGGTCACGTTTCCAACCCGCGGGTCAAGCTGAAGCTCCCGCAAAGCCGCCGGTCATCGTCATCAACGGAGAAGATGTCAGGAACCGCGGGCAAGGGAGGGACTGCCGAGCTAATAAGCGAACTCGAGGGGCGGGCGACAGGAGAAAACATGACTCTCTGGCTCTGCCGTGCATCTTCCTCGGTGGAACCCCCGCCGGAAAACAGACCCATCAGTCCCAGGGGCAAGCAGCCCGGGGGGCCTGGAGAGCACGCGGGAGGCCCACACGGCATCGAAGCGAGTCCAACCCTGACTCGGGCACGTTTCAGGTTCTTTTTCTGTCTCGCGTTAGACCGATGCCTTAGCGATCGAGGTAGCCGGATTCTGTCTGCTCGGATGGAGCTAAATCGGGCGTTCGCAGGGACCAAGGCCTCGTCCCTCGTGTTCCTGACGCCCGGTGGGCCCCGGGCACGACCTGCTGGACATCTAGCCGGCATGTTGTCTTATAAATCCCACGCTGTGAAGATTCCTCCATGTGCGCCGAAAAGGCCATCTGGAGTCATCTAGATACCTGAAGTTCAGCTGTTTATCCCTCCTTCCCGGGGATCGAATGGAACGGAAGGCAGGAAGCGAAGCCGAAGAAAGTTTCGGCCAAGGGCCATGGAAAAGTCAGTCCCGGCACCATGGATCGGAGCAGCGGGTCTCGCTACCAGAGATGCGCCCCAGCAACGAGATCAGTCACTACCGAGGCCGGGTGAAAAATGACTCGAGGCAGCAGTTCCACTGGCCGTGGCTGCCTGAAAGGACGCGTTCCGTTTGCCATCTTCGATTTCTCTTCCAATTGCTATCTTCTCTACTCTACAGAGTACTTTGTATGTCCTCTCCACACCACCCACCCAGCCACCCTACTCGACATGGCTTACCGATGCCGCGCTCTCCTTGGATGAATCCTCCCCCGCCGGAACCTTCTTCTGTCGCTGCAATTCCTCCTCCTCACGCTGGACATACCGCAAGGGACGCCGGGTGGAAATGGCATCCGGGTCCCGGGTGACCACCAGGGCCGGGTCCGAGCGATAATACTCGTCCAGGTCTTCCAGGGTCCGGTTCGCTGGTGGAATTAGTGATGGTGTTTCTACAGCACAATGGGACGGTCTCCTCACCGGTCTCCGGATAGAAGAAATAGAGAATGGGCAGAAAGGCCGCGTTGGTGACTATCCACACGATCCAGAATCGCCAGCCAATGTTCTGGATGCCGATCGGCGTGATCTCCACAATCGCAAAGTTGGTGATCCTGAGACCTGATCAGCAACTGCCAGGGAGACATCGTGGATGAAAACACCACCTACCAGTTCGTTGCGGTGGCCACCGCCGCGCCCTTGGTGCGCATGGGCAGCGAATTGATCTCGGTCGGATACAGCCAGGGCACCCCCAGCATCCCGATCCCAAACACGATATAGTACAGGAAAAAGAATGCGACCGCGGCGGTCGCGTATGTGCGGTCGATCTCGGCAAACCGCAGGAGAATGGTGATAATCAAGAAGCACACACACTGGCCAAAGGTGGACAGCAGCATGAGGCCGCGTCGGCCACAGCGCTCGATCAGCGTCACGGACATGCACGCAAACACAAAGTACACCGTCGCATTGCAGGCGCTCAACAAGCGCGCCATGTTGTTGGAGAGCCCGACCGAGTTGATGAGCACCAGGGGGAGATAGTACGACATGATGTTGATCCCTTAGCCCCAGTCAGTCAACGGAAGAAGAGGAATGAATGCAACTGAATCGCGACATACCCTGGAACTGTTGGATGGCCTGCGTACCGGCCCCGAGAATCAACCGTCGCAGGGTCTTGGTGTCGCCGGTCGACCGTCCAGTCAACAGATCCCGCCAAGGCACGGCGTTGTCCCGCTCGTACTGGATACTGTACGCGATCTCGCTGTGCTGGGTCGCGATATAGGGATCGTCCTTCGGTTTATTCTCGATGCTGCAGAGGACCTCTACAGCCTCCGGAGTGCGACCATGGCAGAGCAGCCACCTAGTCCGGTCAGCCCACCGATGCGAGGGACCAGAGCGACTCGTACGTACCGCGGGGATTCAGGCAGCCATGGGACGGTGGCAAAGAGCACGACAATGAAGAAGAACTGCAGGGCAATGGGCAGTCGCCAGGCCGGCGCACCGCCGTGGAACGACAGCCCGTAGTTGATCCAGTTGACCATCATGAAGCCCCCGACATTCAGGGCCATCTCGAGAATGACCAGGCGGCCCCGCCAGGATACCTGGGCAGTTTCGGTCTGCCAGATGGGTGCCGTGGAGGTGTTGATCCCGTTTCCAATCCTGCGCGTGGTTAGCACTCGCAGCATCGCAGGCAGGTTGTGCTCACCCCAGAATGACGCGCCCCACAAACATCTGGGCCAGACTGTACGAGCTGGCCTGCAGGATGGTGCCGACGGCCATGATGGCCGTCCCGATCAAGATGGACTTTTTCCGGCCCAGTTGCTCCGCCAGAGCAAAGGCGGCAATAGCCCCGAGGAAACATCCCACGTCGTAGATGGCCGTGACGGTCGACAGCGTCGTGGTCTTGCTGGGTCCCACCAGATCATGAACCTCAAGGAAGTTCTGCGTGACGACGATGCCACCTGCCGGGGATTAGACCTCGATGTCCAGAAGCTAGCAGGAAACGGACGTACTGAACAGCCCTTGGTCATAGCCAAACAACGTCATGTCCGTGGCACAGGCAACCTGGAGGGGGTCAGTAACCGGCGGTAGCCTCTCTGCTTTGGAAGTCCTACCGTAATCCAGAAGGTGAGCCATCCTCCGACGAGCCCAAAGTAGGGCTTCTTTTCCAGCCGTGGAGCCATGTCGCGCTTACGGCATCAACCGGAAGATCTTCAATGGACCTGCTCAAGCAGGGGTGCACCAGTCTTTATATACACACGGACGCCCATCTTCAGCCAACAGGGCAGGGTAGGATGGGAATTGGGGGTAGTCTCCGGCATGAGGCTATCTCGCCATGGCTGAGATAGGCGATAGGATCCAGTAGATGACGAGGGTGGCACTTCCCGAGCCGGCGAGGTTGGCCACCTAGGGTTGCATCGGGTGCTCGATGCCCCGGACCTGCGTCATGGGATCGGCCAAAAACAGTCCAGAGACTCGTCTCGTTGGCGGACGATGCTCCTTGCCCCACGCCTGGCCCATGTTTATCATTCCCGAGAATCTGTGGGGAGAAAGTCCGGATGATGAGATGCGAGGAACCCTCCGGTCACCACGATGCTGGGGCCTTCAGCAACACCTATCCGGCATCTGACTAGGACTCATGTGGCACCCTGATCGAACGAGGCCTGCCGAATGAACTCAGGCACCATGGTTTGCTCAATTTGTTCGGCCTGACTGAACATTGGGCGCACCAGGATGGTGCAGTAGCACCCCGACGCCTTCTTCCCTCAACCATGGCTCGGTCTAGATGCCCTACCAGTTATCTCAAATCTTTTCGATTAATCGATAGGGCTCTGCAGAGCTTATCTTCGGCTGTCGATCCCGTTCTCGCTCTCTTTGCTCATCTCAACCCGTGGTTCAACCCGCTCCCAACCTTGAAGTGTTTGTCCGCAAGGCAGTCGACGGACTCAAACTGACGTCTTGACAATCTGGCCACAGCTGGGCCGTTGTCTAGACTACCACCAAGGCCACCGCCGTGCAAAACTAGCCTCTCGGGGGCCTAGGGCTGCCCTTGACAAGCGCAGCACAATGCTCGGTCCGATGTCGCCTACAGTGAAGGATCCGGCCCGGTCCAGCAACGGACCCCCCGCTCGCTGCGCGAATGAAATCGATCCATCTATCCTGGCCATAAATGCCCCGGTTCAGAGGAACCTTTTCTTTCCGGTAAACTGGCCGGTCGTTGCTCAAGGAGAGTGGTGCAGCAACCCTGGCCTTTGCCGCTGCGCAGCATCTCTTGTTCGATGAGAGGATGCAGGTGGTGACATCAATCATCTGGACGCGCCCCAGTGCCTAGTTCCTTTGCTTCTTCTTCTTCTTCTTCTACCGGAATTCCTTTTCTCCGTTGCTATGAGGCTAGTCAGTCAGCGCCAGACACTTGACTAGTGGGAATCACCCAACTCGTCAATGGTTGGCATGGAGTTAGCCTCTTGCACCACGGCCCGGAGAAACGAGTAACCTGCGCGTGAAATCCCTGTCAGGACCGTTTGCGACCCGGCTGATCATGCATGGCGGCCACCATGTCAGGCATCCTGTTGGTCGGCTGGCACAGGTACGAAGTAAGGTTGGTCGAACTGCTTGGCTAGAGAGGTATTCCAGACCTATCGGCAAATTTGACCCGCCGTGTAGCCCGTAAGCTGTACTATTGGGGACATTGAACAAACACATGCTACCCTAGTGGACTCGTCGAGTTTAGCCGCCGCCGACGAATTCGACTCCACGACACGGGGCCAGTCGAGGCAAACCAGATCCCACTCGGGGAAGCAGCCTGATTGACAATAGCAGCACCGTTGCCACCAGTCGGTGCGAGCGGCCGGTTGAGTCCATGTCATCGATGGCGTAGCAGAGCTGTCAACCCGCTACGTTCCCTATCGGACTTAGAACCACCTGTATGGCTGACGCCCGATCTAGTGCTGGCTAGTTACTCAGACTGTCCCGTGATTCAAGCAGGTAGCAGACCGTGCTGGCCTTCTCGGTTGCTCCACACGGATGACAGCCTTGACCAACACTTTGGCTGGTTGTGAGGGACCTCCTGGCCTGCCTGCGGGTCCCGTTATTCGTACAGGCCGTTGGGTCGTCGAGCGTAGAGTAACCATTGGGGCAGGACCCAACCCAGTGCCGATCCGACCTCATCGAATCAATCTCCTCGTCTCCTCGGTTCCAGGCGCTCCAAGTCCAGCGCCGTCCGAGAGACGGGCTTGGCAGCGCCAGCGCTATGGCCCGAACCCCCACTTGGCCGGCGGGTTGGGAAGGGATCAGCTCGTATCCAATTTGCAACTCAGCTCCAGGATTCCACCGCGGCCGAGCACTCCCCTTCCGGCTTGGATTTGCCCGTCTCCTCATTCGGTGCGGATTGAGGTGGCTTCAGGCTTCGTCTCGGGGTTATTGCGGGAAAAAAAGGCCGACGCCCTAACTCCCAGTCCATACCCTCCCCCAGGGCATGTGTGCGGGAGGATTTCCGCGGTTCCGACTGGGCTTTTCTTTTCTCCCTAGTCGTTGGGTAAGTTGCAATGTCTTTGGCACGTTCACTGCCATGAATCCAATCCCAACGACCACGATGGACTGCCGCCGGCATCCGGGTTAGCGAGGATTCGTCAGCCATGAGCCATCAGGATCAATCGTAATCAATCGGTGCCAGCCAGGGAATTTTCCCCGAGAGGAAGCCGGCCAATGCGGAGGCCTTTTCCCGGCCCCGTCTTCGGCTTTCAGTACTAGTCACTAGTCATCAGGGACTAACGAGGGACCCTGGCCGACCCTGCATTGTCCCCTCAAACATCATCCCGGCCGGCCGGGCGAGTCTGATTGTCCTGAGGACATGGGCGGGTTGATTTTAGCATCACCTCGTCTGGGATCGACAGGATTAGGGTTCTCGGGGTATCTTCAGCGGTCCAGCAGTTTGAGTTTGTCCGGAACCCAAGGACAACCATGGACCGCACTGATCTCCTCCACGAGGGGCGATGCCGGAGACTAGCGGAGACATCCCGCATGCCAAGCAGCCAGCCAAATCCCCAAGATCCGACATGACCCTCGGGGATATCCGAGAGCCAAGATTGGCAGCGACAGCTCCTGCGGTGTTTAGGCCAGACCCAGTATAGTCCAGTCATCCTGGCCTCGGTCATCATCCACCCGGATACCCAGCCTGGTTGCCCGTCAGCAGTGGCAGCATCGTCGGAAGAGGCCTGATGCTGAGCAGTCCAACAGCCCAATGGCTAGCATACAGTAGACTCCAATCACCTCATCCCACCATTGTTCTTCTAGTCGAATCCCAGCAATATACCGATCCAGACTGAGCACAGGGCCTCGTGGGGGGAAAAGATATAGCCCCATCGGAACGGTCCCGCCTCTCTCAGCACAATATCTCCGGCCATGGACCGGGTTTCATATCCACGCTTCTTGGCAGCAGAGGCGGGAACCAACCAGATCATTGTCCGGAGGAGAAGGAATACTAATCCCTCGACGCTGAAGCGTGGACGAGGGAAGTCCTGCAGTGCGGATCCTGCTCCTCGTCTCGCGGAGATGAAGGGATCGGCATTCGTTGCCGAAAACCAATGGTACGCAGCCCACTGCCTGACGATATCCGCGTCGTTCCCTTCCCCATCTGGAAGGCTATTGCGAAGCCCGAGGTCTCGTCCGAGCAGAAGGTCCTCTCGATTTTTCCGGAGGGGGATGCTCCACCGGATCCGGGAAGCTTAAGTAGGGCCATCCCCAGGTGCTCAATTCTCCGGATATCCTCCTGCATCGCAACCCGCCGCGGCGAGCTTTGGACCGCATCCCGATGCGTCTCTCCTCCCTGATCCTCCCTCTGTGTGGCGGCCTAGCCGCCGCCGCCTCATGTCCGTATGCCTCCATGGCGCGCACGGAGGACAAGGCCTCGGCCGTCGTCGCTCGGGGGGCGCCAGTGGCCGGGAAGAAGGGCGTCATGCTCATGAACCGCATTGCCCCGGCCATCTCACAGCTCTACGTCTCCAATGCGGACGGGTCCAATGCCCGGCTGCTCCTGGGCAACGAGAGCACCTTCGACTACCACGCGCAGTGGTCCCCAGACGGCCAGTGGATCGTCTTCACCAGTGAGCGGGCCGGGGATGGTCAGTCAGATCTCTACCGGGTCCGCCCGGATGGCACCGACTTGCAGCCCATCTCGACCACCCCGGCCGTGGAGGATGCGGGTGCCATCTCGCCCAATGGCAGTCTCGTGGCCTTTGCGGGCACCCTCAACAACTACAAGAGCAACATCTGGATCAAGAACCTCGAGACCGGGTCCCTGTGGAACGTGACCAACTCGACCGAGGTGGCGGGCGACTACACCCTGCCCGATGGTCACTTCCGGCCGGCCTGGTCCCCCGATGGCGAGTGGGTGGTCTTCACGTCCGACCGGAACACCCCCTGGCGCGGACACAACAACATCAGTGGCTGGGAGCACGTCCAGGAGCTGTCCATCTACGCCATCCGCCCCGATGGTCGGGACTTCCACCGCGTCGCCAACCGCACGGGCTACTGTCTGGGCTCGCCCAAGTTCTCGCCCGACGGCCGCCGCATCGTCTTCTATGAGATCCCCACCGAGCTGACCTACTATGCGCGCGTGGCCGAGCCGGCCTTCTACGAGGTCAGCACGGCCATCGTGTCCGTGGACTTTGCCACGGGTACCGACCGCATGGAGCATGCGTCGGGCGACGCCGGTGGCATCAAGCTATTCCCCCAGTACATCGACAACAGCACCGTCGGCTACCTGGTCAAGAGCCTGCTCACCAATGCCACCTACCCGGGATCCATCAACTACACGGCCGCGCAGGTCCAGGGCACAGTGAGTCCCCCGTACCGCAACGCCTCGCTGGTGGGCTACCATCGCTCCCCGGCCTGGTCGCCCGACGGCACCCAGATGGTGTACGAGCACGTCGAGTGGGACCCGGTGCGGGAGGTCGGCAAGAAGCTGTACAGCTGGGACGATGATTGGGAGTACCGCTTCAGCGACGTGTTCCCGCAGATGTCGCATCAGGGCAAGATCGCGTACACGTCCCAGCAGACCCAGAACTCCTCCCTGGTGACCATGAACGCGGACGGCACGGGGGCGGGCGACATCTTCGATGGCTCGCGGTTCCCCGCGCGCGTCAACTCCTCCAACACCAACGGCACCTTCCAGGCCTCGTGGCGCGGGGACGGCGAGGTGCTGGCCGTCGGGCTGGGCGACTGGTTCGAGTACCGCTACAGCAACCCCGGATGGGTGTATCTGGTGGCGGCCAACGGGTCCTGGGCCCGCCCGCTCACCAACGGCAGCACCAACGCGGGCTTCCCGACCATCTCGCCCGATGGCCGGTGGGTGGTCTGGCGGGAATTCGCGTACACGGCCAGCGAGGAGGTAGCGCCGTTGGGGCTGCGCCGGATGGACCTGACGACCGGCGAGGTGGTGGTGCTGAGCCGGGAATGGGATAATACGCCCATGTTTGCGCCGGATGGGTCGAACCGGATTGTCTTCACGCGGCGGACCAGCTGGCCCATTGCCGGACCCTTGGATGACAACTACGACGTCATGACCATGGCGGTGGATGGCAGTGACGTGAAGCAGCTGACGACGTTGCCGTGCAATGATGCCCACGCGGTGTGGACGCACGAGGGCAAGATCGGCTGGGCGACGGGCATGTTTGGCTTCCAGGATGAGGCGGCGATCTATGATAATAACCAGCAACCGTACCCGATGCTGATGCAGATGGAGGCGGATGGGTCGAATATGACGGTGCTGACCCAGAGTCGGTGGGAGGATACGATGCCGCTGTATATTCCGAATGATCTGTTGGCATGAATGCTCGGGATGTGTGATGTATATATGTGCAGCGAATGTTCAAGGGTGTACTGTGGTTGAGATGTGGGCATATCCTGTTGAGATCAATAGACATATCTGATACCCATCACCTCGTCCGTTCTCGAGTGACTATATGTGAAGCTGCTTGGGTTCTGACGTCGACCAGATGGAAGCTATCGTGACTATCGAAGATGATGCTTTGTGCAATGGGTATTGATTTCTCTCAGGCAGGTACTACCTATCCAATGTCCAAATATATACCACGACCTAGTATTTTACTCCTTCAGGTACTGATGGAACCACGACACGGCCTGCGCGAAACTATGCTCCTTGGCCACTCTCTGCTGCTTGACCTCCAGGTTACACCGGACGGCATACCCATGCTCGACATGAGAATACAGCGACAGCTGATAGGGTTGGCCCACCTCGGCCAGGATATCTTCACTCTCGCGGCGCTTCTCCGTGGGGAAGAGAAAGTCGGACACTTGTCGCAATTCCTCCCACTCAGTCACTGTTTCATCGACAGCAAGGGGCAGTAACTCAACTCACCGGCAGCAGCAATACTCAACGGTCCTTGAATGCCCTTCAACTCATCCGCCTGCACATCGACCGGATGGGCCATGAAGCCCACATCCACCAACCCGGGCTTGAGGTACCGAACGACATACTTGCCACCATAGCAGTATCCGACCGCGCCAATCCGCTTACAGCCGAGTTTGTTGCGCATGTGGTCGATAGTCCGGTCGACAATCGGGTCCGTCACGGGCGGCAAGTGCTTCTGCAACCATTTCATGATGTCGAATTCCTTTCCGTGATCGACGGGCACCGGATCATCGTTGAACAGGTCCGGCATCACGACCAAGTACCCATTATCAGCGAACTGATCCGCGATCAACCGCGAGTTGACCAGCTTGGGACCGAAAATATCCGACAGAAACAGGATGGCGTTGTGGGTCGATTTATCGGCAGGGTAGGACACGTAGGTGAGGACTAGAGAGGGGGATGTACATCAGGATGCGACCGATGGAGATACTGTGTACCAAGCGGGAGGGGGTTCCTTACTGCCATCGATGTCGGTTTCCTCCCCCTTGGGGGTGCCACTGTGCAGATGGCCGGCGATGCAGCACTGAGCCGGGGGGAGAGAAGTCATGGCGGGCCAGCAAGCAAGAGAGGGATCTGGATAATTTCGTGCTTCGTCCATCCGAGACAGTCGGGATAGGGCTTGTTTTTCAAGTTCGGAGCCAGGCTGCCACGTAGGAGATGACCTCACCTGGGAAATGATTCGTTGCATCGGGCGGCGCTCATGCAACCGCTCGGACACTCGGCTCGTGGGGGGGGTTGTTTGTCCCCGGAATGGCCGGTGGACGTGTGAATGGCCGGCTCCATCCTGAGCCAGGGGATGCAACCATGGAACCCCCGTCGATCCTTGCGGCATGCCTCAAAAAGCAAGCCCGCCTTGCTGAACGGAGGGGGCCCCTTGCATGCCCCCCCTTAGGGCTGGGGAAATTGCGTGCCCGGAAGCGGTCGGACGGTCAGATGGCTTCGAAATCCTACCAATACATACCCTGGTCAACGTCCTCCAATTGATGCGTTTCTCCCGCGTTGGACCAGGACCAGTCCGACTGCACCGACCGACAATGGCACGAGTCTTTTCCAACTCGGCATTCGGCGTGCTCCTCCGCCTCGTGTCGGGGGGGCGTCTCTTCACGCCCCGTGAATTTCGTCGCGACTTTACCCTGCCGCCACCGTACCAGTTGGCGGCCAGCAATGCCCTCACCCAGCAGCAGCAGCAACAACAACAACAACAACAACAGTCCTCGGAGAAATCGGTCCACGAGGCAGGTGATGGAAGTACGTTGTTCAACCAAGCCCTGCCCCGCGACGACGCGATCAAGGAAATTGATGGGATCCAAGATGTCACCCTCCCCACTCCGGCGCCCACGCCGCCCGAGTCCGCGTTGCAATCGCCGTCGTCGTGGATCGAGCCGGAAGTGCTGCCGGACGGGACCATCCTGGTGGACTGGTACTCGCCCGATGACCCGGACAACCCGCATAACTGGTCGTTTGCGGCCAAGCTGCTGGTCTACGTCGAGGTGAACCTGTTCACCTTCCTGGTGTTCATGGCGGCGGCTATCGTGGCCGCCGACGAGGGCTATCTCCAGGATATCTTCGGGGTCACCCGCACCGTCAGCTCGCTGGGGCTGGCCCTGTACGTGCTGGGCTATGGCATGGGGCCGATGATCTGGAGTCCCATGTCGGAAGTGCCTTCCGTGGGTCGGAATCCGCCCTACGTGATCTCCGTCACCATCTTCCTGATCCTGGCTGTGCCGACGGCCCTAGTCAACAACGTGCCGGGCTTCCTGATCCTGCGCTATCTGCAGGGCTTCTTCGGTTCCCCCGGGCTGGCCACGGGGGGTGCCTCCCTGGCCGATGTGACGGCGATCAAGAACCTCCCTTATGGACTGTACATCTGGGGGATGTGTTCGATCGCCGGACCGGCCATTGCCCCGACGATCTCGGGGTTTAGTGTGCCCGTGAAAGGATGGCACTGGGCCATGTGGGAGATCTTATGGGCGGCGGCGCTGTGTTTTGTGTCCCTGGTAAGTGATCCCTTGTCTGCGATGCCAACTCGGAAACCATCTCTTTTCTAATTCTCTCCACTAGCTCTTCCTCCCCGAGACCTCCGCCCCCGCCATCATGCACCTCCGCGCCAAGCGCCTGCGCAAGCTCACCGGCAACCCGGCGTTCCGATCCCGATCGGAGATCCAAACGAAGAACGCCACGGCGATGCAGATCGCCTACGAGGCGCTAGTGATTCCCTGGAAGGTCAATGCCCTCGATCCCGCGGTGCTGTTCACGACGGTGTACATCGGACTCGTCTACGCCATCTTCTACTCGTACTTCGAAGTCCTGCCCCTCGTCTACCAAGACATCTACCACATGAACCTGGGCCAATTGGGACTCATCTTCCTCAGCTGCGTCATCAGCTCCCTCCTGCTCATCCCCTTCTACTACGCCTTTGTGCACTTCTCCCTCAATAAGGCCTTCCGCCGCGGCGAGTTTCCCCACCCAGAACACCGCCTCGTCCCAGCCATCGTAGGGAGCATCCTCATCCCGACCGGATTGTTCCTCTTCGCGTGGACCTCCCGGGCATCGATCCACTGGATCGTCCCCACCATCGGCCTCGTGATCGAAGTGGCGGGGATGTCCCTAGTGCTGCAATGCATCTTCAGTTACCTCTCCGTGGCATACATGACCTACAGCGCGAGTCTCTTCGCCATGAACGATCTGGCGCGTGCCAGTCTCGCCTTCGCGGCCATCCTCTGGTCGGGGCCCTTATATGACCGGTTAGGCGTGGCACGGGGGACGACCCTCCTGGCGGGGCTGACGGTGGGTTGTATCGTGGGAGTGTTGGTGTTGTATTGGTTTGGACCGTCGTTGCGGCGTCGGAGTCGGTTTGCGGGGTGATTGGCAGTCACTTATTCAGGTGACTTGCTGCGTGGCTTGGTGTGGTGTCGTGGTGGGCGATGATCTTTCCTTGATGGTCATCGACTACGGAGGACTGAGGGGGTTGCATTCTCTGGTGTATTGTATTATCTAGTTGCGTCGGACACTCCACTAGTGTTCTTTAGAGGTTAGATCTTATTTAATCGGTTTGAGGATGAAAATTACCTGGTTGGGTGTACCTGGTTGGGTTGTCTGGGTTATGGCTGGTATGGACACGGGTAATGCCGGAGAGATGGCTTGATACTGGACGTTGATTGGCTGGATGAGTGGTGCTTGGCACAGCTTGGCACAGCTTGGTATGTAGGGTGCTTAAAAGGGGTTAGTGCAATTCCTGATAAGGCTAGCTGGTATTGATGGTTCTGTTGGTATTGAACCGACCCCGCGGAGGTGAACCTTTGGAATGCGATGCTATCACCATCATAAGTGTGAATTGATAATGTAGTAGTCTGATACTCCTGGCTCTACTAAAATTATTCCAGGTAAGATACATGTCGATATGACAGTTTGATTATCAGATGTGAAAAGTGTGGATGAAATTTACGTTTGTTGGTTGTGGGTTGCGTATGATGCTTGTGGTGGTGGATATATATATCGGAGTAGGGTACATATGTTTGTCCTGCTCACCCGACTCCAACCACCATTCAATGTAAAGATAGAGTAGAAGCAGAGTATCTATGCTATATAGTTCTTTATGTTTGTTACGACATGAGTTGAAAGCCGATCGAAGTGCGGTTGGACTAAGGTAGTTGTTATGGACAGTCTGTAGCAACTTTTTTATTCAATGCGCTGTCCCAATCGATAACCGGGGTACTACTATGATGACCTCAGTGGCTGGTCCCGAACCTTCTAGTAAAGTAACATATCTCTATATATATGTCTTAATGTTCTGCGATACAGGCTATTGGGGATCCAGATGCATCAGTCAGTTGACGCTAAAGCAAATGATCGGCAGTCGTGAATCTCATTAATCGGATACATAATTCTAGCTTCCCACACACAGCCCATATCTCAGCAAGGAAACCTCGGGGTTGGATACCAACGGACCGATCTTCGGGCAATGTCTTGCCCCTTGCGTCCACCCCGCTTGACAGCATGGTCTCCATGGATAATACCACCCCTCCAACTCTATTCATCTTAATTCAGCCAGCCCAAGTCAACGCCATTCAGGAATCAATGCTATCACCCCCCTAATTCGACAACATGTCCAGCGCGTGCACCCGTGGCTGGTATCCATACAGCGGGTCGGTGGCCCATTTCCAACACCACGTTGGGGCATACGTGAACGCGATACGACGCGCCAGGGGCCCCAATCCATAGGGCAATCGCCCGGTATGCACCTGCGCGAAGATGCTCGAGTAGTAGACCAGATTGCGGGCGCGTGGCTCCCGGCTCTTGCGGTAGTCGATCAGCACCTCCCGCAGCACTTGGGGATCGTTGGTTTGGCCGGCAAAGTAGGTGTGCAGCCCGTTGGCCAGCTCGCCCACATCCTCAATCGCCTGGCAGGCACCCTGGTGCAGTTCTGGTTAGTCATGGGTCATTTACAGGAAGGTTCGGCATCCGTACCTGGCCAATAAACGATGTCATAGAGTGAGCAGCTATTGCAGTTAGTCGTCAGATCTCATGCGGTGCATCGATGGATTCTTACAGTCGCCCACCAGAGCCACGCGGCCAAATGCCATGTCGGGGAACGCCGTCTCCTCAAACACATCACTGGCCGTCACCCGCTCGGCAATATCGACCACTACGCACCAGTCAGTAGCCCGTAAGGAGCGGAGGATGGAGGAGACGTACCATCGCGGACGGTCTCGTTCTTGCCCATTGGGTGGAAGCGATGGCCGTACACCTCATTGATCATCTCCTTGGTCGCGCCTTTCCAGGTGGAGCGCGAGGTGGTCTTGGCCTCAGAGGGCTGTCCAGTGATGGGACATCAGTCTGACTCCGCGGAATGAAGTGAGGCCTCGAGGAGGAAAGGCAAGGGAACATACCTTGACGCCGACGAACCATTGGCGGTTCTCCGTACACGGCCAAGAAGTCAGGATGCAGTCATCGTAAAAGACCCAGGTGGCCACCCCGAGATGCTCGGGCCCCAGGTGCTTCAGCGGATACGAGATGCCCGTCATGTGGGTACGACCGGTGAAGCGGATGGTGTTGACGCCCGCCAGCCCTTGCTTGTCCGCAAGGAGGCGCCGAGTGATCGACCGGATGCCATCAGCCCCCACCAACACCTCGCCGGTAAACTCGCGGCCATCCGCCAGGCGCACCTTGACCGACGGCGAGTCGGGCTCGTCCTCGAAGCCCACGACCTCGGCGTCCAGGAGGACGTGCTCCGTCCCCGTTGCCTGGTACAGGGCCCGGTGGAGCGAGTGTCGGGGCATCGAGTACATGGAGTAGCCGTAGGTCCCTTCCAGCCACTCAAAGTCGAGCATGCTCCATTTCGTCTTGTTGCGGAACACTTGGATCTTGCGCAGCGGTTGGCCCTCCTTCCGGATGATGTCCATGAAGCCCAGCTGGTCCAGGAGCCGGAGGGCATTGGGGGCCAGCGAGATGCCCGCACCCACGGGGGTGACTTCGGCAGTGCGTTCCAACACCTTGTAGCTGAGTCCGATGCGCTTACAGATGTTGGCCAGGGTCAACCCCGCAATACCTCCACCGACGATCAAAACCTGGACATCAGCCTGGGGAGCCATGATGAAGGGCCACGGGAAAGAAAACCAGAAGGAGAGATGGAGGGAGGGAAGAGAAGAAGGCCTGGGACCCCGGACGGTTGGTTAGGCTTCGGGAAGAGAGAGGTTCGGGGTGCCTTTCAACTGGATCTGAGCCTACTCCTTAAGTATGGTGCGAGTCCGCCCTCCTCGGATGGCACTGTTACCGTAACCGCAACGGGCGGCGATGCGGCATGAAGATGGATGCAGACGCACGTTCATCAAGAGACATCCGCCCTTCGTGGCCGGGTTGGCTTGTTTGCCTGCACGCAAAACCGGAATCTACTGGCCAGTAGTCAAAGGGATGATCCGCACCGCACCGCCTCAAAAGGGTAAATCCATGGTCCCGAGGACGTGCCTTGCATATGTCGGTGAGCGACGAACACGACCCGAAGGCGCCATGGAACGGTGGCTTTGGTCGGCTGAATTAGAGCCGGTAGCATGTGGTCTACCACTCGTCTATTCGAGGGCAGGGTACGAGTGGAACGCACTGGCTGGCAGTGAGGGTGGAGGTCATCTTTCCCCGAAGAGCGGTGGCCGATCGGGTCTATATAGGGCTGTGCAGTGTCTCTCGTTTCTAGAACACTAGTTGCGAATCAGGGTTGTATCAAACGACACAGAGGTGCCATATGGAATGTGAAGCTACAGAAGTAAGTCCTAACATTGTCTCTCTTGAACAGATCTTCGAATCTAGCCCACGAGTACTGTACAGCGGACATAGCACAGAATGTGGACGGCAAAGAGAGAATGCGTCTGATTCCAGCGGGACAGGGTACGAGTCATGCTACCGTCGCTCTTCGATTGGGATTGAACTAAACTCAAATTCGTATACCGTAACATCCGTCTGACCTCCATCGTCAACCTCATTAAGCCGCCGGCGATGCCCTCGGCTGGAGGCGAATGCGCGCATCGCCCCGCAACCAGGGACTGCCCACTTTACTAAAATCCATGGCGGAGATATCCAGCTGGGCCGGTCCCTCGCGCCCCCATTGGAAGTCGTAGTTCTGGACCAACCGGGACACCAGTTCCCGCGCAATAATCCCGGCCATGTTCTCCCCGGGGCACCGATGCGAGCCCGCGCCGAACTGCAGGAAGGCCGCGTCGGTGGTGTTGTTCAGGTTCTGCAGGCGCGCCGTGGGGCGCAGCCACCGCTCCGGCAGCCACTGATCCGGCTGCTGGTAGATCTCGGCGTCGTGGTGGGTGAGATACGGCGAGGTGCACACCACCCAGTTCTCCGGGACGGTGTAGCCATCTTCCAGCTTCACCGGACGATGGGTGGTGCGATACATGTGCACGCCCGAGTAGTGGCGACCACTCTCTTTGACGCACGCCAGCAGCTCCGGGGATTGATGGACATCGCCATGCTCCTTGAAGGACTGGCGGATAGCCTCCACATACTGGGGGTTGCGGATCAGCTGTGCACACGGTCAGTGAATTCCAGTCCAGCCGTCAGCAATTGGGTCGCGCAAAGGACACACCTCCATGGCCGTCCAGGCAATACTGGCCACGGTACTCGTGTGGGCCGCAAACATGAGCACCGTGTGGTGGGAGGGATAGTACTCCTGGAGATGCGCCGTGCGCGGGTCCTCCAGCGTGTAGGTGATGTAGTCCAGCGAGCCCTTCCACTGCTCCGGATTCTGGCGCCGAATCGCCATCTGCTGCTCGAAGATCTCGGCGAAGCGGTCGCGGGCCTGTCCCAGTCGTCGGGCCGGGGGATGCTGGACCCAGTCGGGGAGCAACAGGTTCAGCGGGTGGCCGATCTCATCTTCCATGCGGTGCAGGAGGTCGTACAGCTCGTCGATGTGGTTGTCGTAAAAGTCCTGTCCCATGAGAGTGCGCACGATCACGCGGTGCACATACTTGGAGGCTTCCTCGAAGATCTTGATGTCGGGCTGCCGGCTCCATTTCAGCAGGGCCTTGTCGGCTTCCTCGCCCGCCAACTCGGTGTACCGGTCCAGGGTGACCTTGCGATTGATGCCGCGGTTTAACGAGCCCACCAGGGTGCGAAAATGCTCGAAATACCCGGGGATGGCGATCTTCTTCAAGAACATGCCCTGGAAAAAAAAGTCAGCGGGAATAGTTTCCTCATCAGAGGGAACAGGGATGCCTACAATGCCACCCCCGAAGGACCAGATGTCTTCCTTGACATCCACATACATGCGGTTGAGCTGGGTGCCACGGAGATAGACGATGTTGGCAAACAGCAACTTGACCTGGAAGATCGGCCCACACTTGGCCGTCGCGTCCTGGACGAATCCGACCGGACTGTTCAAAAAGGCCAATGCATCTCCGATCACAGGAAAGCCCAGTCTCGGGGTGGGAAACGCCTTGGAACCCCCCGCCCGGTGCCACTGAAACAGTACCAGCAAGAACAAGAGGGTTCCGACAATGATACTGGGGGACGCGAGCAGGTCCTCCCGGCCGGCCAGATGGGCCTGGAAACGGGCCTGAAGACGGGCCTGAATATCCTCAATCATGGTTGCTCCCGGGAAAACACAATGAGGGGATCGCAATCGAAGAGACGGGCACTTCAGGTTCCAGCAGAAAACCTCCGGTGTTCGAACTCCAGACATAAAAGACCAGACGCCCACCCTTGGTTTCATCGCAGCTGGTTGCACTGCATAAAAAGGTCCGCGGAGGATTCCCCAGCAGACGGTGTGGCAGCCCTCGAGGAGCGGCCCTCCGAGACAGGGTCAGCATCGATCGGCCCGGATTGCAGGACGCGTCACCCAGGGATCGACTCTCGATCTCGATTCGAGAGGTATCGAACCGGTTGATGGAGATTCATCACCCCCGGCAGTGGCTGCAGGGCCGCCCACCGCAAGTTACTGGCCGCCAGCTGATGTTGTGGTTCAACGCTTGGGATGGGCATTGCATATGCACATGCCCCAACCATGACGGAGGCGGCGCTGAATGATTTTGGCTCAGGATCAGCGCCCCCCCCTGGCATCCTGGAATGCTGACTCGTGTCAAGCCCGGCCCGATGGCAATGGCAGGTCACTCTCCCCCTCCCTGCCTTGATTCTGTGCGACGCGGAGCTGAAAATCCGGCGACACATTCAACGCTTGATGTGCACGTGTAGCATGACGCGAGTGGGTTGATATATCGGCTGTGGATCGTTGGGGTCGAAGAATCTTCCCTGACGGGCATGTCGTGCCCTTGCATCCCACTACCCTGCTTTGGGTATGTGCATGGCTTCCTGGAGAGCGGTCTGACCCGTTGAAAATCGCATCGGTGTGTCTCTGCTCCATCCGCAGCAAACTTCCTGGCCTTCCATGCAGGGGTCTACCGGGTACTCCCCCACCAGTGGCTTGGACGCCAGCCACGGTGGTCCTGGCAGTTGGCTACACTTCCTTAGTGCGGGTATCCGGGACGGTTGAGGAGTCCTCTAAGCTCGTAGTACCTACCGGCACTAGTGACTGTCGGACAGTGGATCCCATCGTGAGGAGCTGTATGTGCGTTCGAAACCTGGGACGGACAGCCCCAAGTGTAGACGAGGTGTCGTCGATGGCGGGTTCAGCCGGAGATTTAGTCCATCCCGATGGCTCTTCCTAGGCAAGCTTTTATGCCATGCGACGGATGAAAAGGGAATTCATGTCGACGAATCACAAGCAAGGGGCGACTGGGTGAAGAGCAAAAGTCAGACATACGAGCCGGTTGATTCGACCCGGGTCCGACGATGGATAGGATCAGGCACCATCGCAACGGGATATCCCAGGAGTATATCCTGGCGGCAGTCGACGGAGCGGACCCGAGTGGCCGGCCCAGCCTATCATTCTTTTCCTTCTTTTTTCTATCGATATCTGCCCTTGAGTAGGCTCTCACTCCAAACCCTCTTCTTGTGCTTCCAGATTCCTCCCTGTCAGCCATCTCATTGTCTACTCCGGCAACATGCACTCTATCACTGCGGTTGAAGTTCTCAAGCTCCGCCAGCTCCTGGCGGGGACAAATGCCGAGGTCCTGACCGAGGGCATGCCCGGCTACGCAGAGGGCATCCGGAGATGGAGTGACACATGCGAGAAGAAAGCCGTAAGTTATCCATGCACCGCTGCTCACACCGGACTTTGCTCACCAGCGTTTGATGTCTTCAGGGCGCCGTGGTTCTCCCCACGACGGCGGAGGAAGTCTCCATTGCGGTGGTGTTTGCGGGCAACCACAAGATCCCCATGGTGGTCCACAACGGCGGCCACTCCACCAGCGGCGCGTCTGCGACGGAAGGGGGCATTGTGATTAGCTTGACCAAGATGCGTGGCGTGGTGGTGGACCCGGAGCGCAAGACCATCACGGCCCAGGGAGGCACCGTCTGGGAAGATATCGATCGCGCCGCGGCTCCGTACAAGCTGGCCACCGTCGGCGGCACCGTCAACCATACGGGCGTCGGAGGGTTGACTCTGGGGGGTGGCTATGGCTGGCTGACCGGCCGCTATGGTCTCACGATCGACAACCTGCTGGGTGCCACCATCGTCCTGGCCGATGGCCGCATCGTGAAGACCTCGGAGACCGAGAATGCGGATCTGTTCTGGGCCATTCGCGGCGCGGGCCAGAACTTTGGTGTCACCACCGAGTTCATCTTCCAGGCCTACGACCAGACGAACGAGGTGTATGCGGGCCTGGTGAGCTGGCCGGCCCACTGCCTCCCCCAGATCATCGAGTTTGTCAACCACTTCGAGGACGACACCAACACCGGCGACATGGGCATTTTCTTCGGCTTCTGTGGCGCCATGCCCGCGGGACGGGTCAGTATCGTGGCTGCCATCTTCTACAACGGACCCCAGGATGAGGCCGAGAAGTACTTTGCCCCCATCCTGGCGCTGAACCCGACCATCAACACCGCCACGATGATGCCGTATGAGAAATTGAACAGCATCCAAAACCCCATCGCCACGTACGGTGGTCGCAAGTCGTTCAGTGGCGCCTTCGTCAAGCTGCCCCTGCAGGTGGATTTCTTCCAGGAAATCCTGGAGGACTACGCCACGATGATCCAGACCTACGACGGCACCAGTGCCACGGCGGTCCTCTTCGAGCTGGTCTCGCACAAGAAGGCCATCCTGGTGCCCAAGGACCGCATGGCCTACACGACCCGCGGCGCCTGGTACAACGTCGGCTGTGCCTTCCGCTGGGAAGATCCCAGTCTGGACAAGACGATGCGCGAGATGCAACGGGCTCTGATGCGCAAGGTGGGCGATCGTGCTGGGGCCGGGGCTCATGCGCGGGCGTATGCCAACTACTCGCACAGCGATGGACGCGCCAAGGATGTCTATGGGGCGAATCTGCCGCGACTGCAGACGTTGAAGAAGAAGTACGACCCGGAGAATGTGTTCAAGAAGTGGCTGAACCTGCTCCCGGAGGAGGATACCCCGAACTAGTCGGCTAGCTGTCCCAGTTATGTTGTTGAACGAAGCTTTTCCTCTATTACCCATTGTACCCACCTTTGCCATGAGGCATTCGTAGAGTAATGTGACATTGGAGCGATCTCTAGACCCTCCCTCCCTCCCTCCCTCCCTGTCATGGAACTAGACTATCCGTCGGTCCCTCTACGGCATCGAGCTTGTCTCGACCGGGAAAGAGCCCAGACCTCCATTCGGGATGGAATCGGTCAATCACCGCCGGTCCGGGTTGCGTGATCAGACGAGTAATGGACTGTCGTCGGGGGAGAAACGCCCCTTATCTCAGCTACGCCTCAGCATACGGTTGGCTGCATCAGGGCCTTGGACGCCACATGCCGCCGGCGCAGCAAGGCCGGATTCCACCATGGCTCCCTGGGCGGCCTCGCCCCCCCTTACGTGCTGGATCGTCTGTCTCTTCGTGCTGCGCACCCCGCAAGGGGTTCCCCAATCAACTGGCCTATCTCGGAAGCCACTGGGGCTGGGTGTCATGGTTTTTTTTTTTTTTTTTTTTTTTTTTCCTCCCTCCATTGCCCACTTGGCTAGTCAGACCCGTTAGGGCAGGTGGGCTGCAACTGGTCCCAAGAATCCGCGGAAGTCTTGCGGTCAATCAATCCAATGAAGCAACTGCAGACCCTGCTGAGACACCCATATGGGATCTGCCGGCCAAGCTCGTGAGGACGAAGCCCGCAGGTTTGGGGGCAGAGGGTCGACGAGGTCTCTTCCGATGGGGTTAGAGGTGACGCTGACGAGCTGGCATCCCAATCGCTCCCCATCGTGCACGGCAGTTCGTAGAGACTTAAGTTCACTCTCCTTCCCTCGCTCTCCTCTTCCACATGTACAATAGTCACTTTCTGTTCCTCCCACGCCTCTGGACGTGAAGTGATCTTCCCCCATCCATCGTCTGCCCTGTCCAGTCCCATCGCACCCCCCTCCCCCCCTCCCTCAATCACCACTTCCCTAGACCCCCGAGCAAGGATGGCAGGAGATCTACGGGGGCGACAAGGCTCTCAGGAGCCCGAGGTCTCCACGAAAGAGTCCTCGCCGGGCTTCTCGCCATTCGAGTCCGGATCGTCCGTGACGTCCATCGACGGGCCCAACCCGGCCGTCCTGGTGGGCTATGCGTGCCGCGTGGCGGGCGCAGACCGTCCCAGCAAACTATGGGACAATATCGTCGAGCAGAAGGATGTGAGATGTAAAATGCCGGCGAATCGCTTCAATGTGGACAACTTCTTCCACCCGGATGGCACGCACAAGGGCACGGTCAGTGAGAGTTGCCCCCGGGGGATGCTGACCCCGAGAAATTGGATGCTTGCTGATGCCCCTGTACTCCCTTTAGACCAATGCCAAATACGGATATTATCTCGATCAAGACCTGGGCCACTTTGATCGCAGTTTTTTCCGCATCTCCGGCAAGGAGGCCGAGGCCATGGACCCCCAACAACGCTTGATCCTCGAGGTGGTGTATGAGGCCTTGGAAGATGCCGGCATCACCCTCGAGGAAATCAACGGCTCGCGCACCTCCGTCCTGTGCGGGTCCTTCACGAATGATTACAATGCCATGCTCACCAAAGATCTTGAATACTATCCCAGCTACACAGTCACCGGCACCGGCAATGCCATCCTCTCGAATCGCGTCTCCTATGTTTTTAACCTCCAGGGCATGAGTCTGACCATCGATACGGCCTGTTCCTCATCGCTGGTGGCGTTCCATCTGGGCGCCCAGTCCATCCAGAGCGGGGACTGCGACACGTCCATCATCGTGGGATCCGCCCTGCATTTCGACCCCAACATCTTCATCACCATGACCGACCTCGGCATGCTCTCGGAGGAAGGACGGAGTCGCGCCTTTGCCGCTGGGGTCAAGGGCTATGCCCGGGGAGATGGTGTATGCGCAGTGATCCTGCGAGGGCAACGGCAGGCGGAACTGCATGGCGATGACATTCGCGCCATTGTCCGGGCCACCGGATCGAACCACGATGGCACGAAGCAGGGTATCACACTCCCGTCCTCGGACGGACAAGAAGAGCTCATCCGGAAGACGTACCGGTCCGCCGGCTTGGACCCCGTCGATACCACTTATGTCGAAGCCCACGGCACGGGGACGGGGCGCGGGGATCCATTAGAAACGAAGGCGTTGGGGGCAGTCTTTGGCTCGAAGCGTCGCAAGCGTCCGCTGTATGTCGGTTCGATTAAGAGCAACATCGGCCACACCGAGGGAGCCTCCGGGCTGGCCGGCATCATCAAGGCCACCATGGCGTTAGAAAAGGGCCAGATCCCCCCCAATATGCATTTCAAGATTCCCAACCCCGAGATCAAGTTCGACGAGTGGCAGATTGAGGTCCCCACGGAGTTAGTCGATTTTCCCCTCAATGCCCACGGCCGTCGACGCGTTAGCATCAACTCGTTTGGCTATGGAGGCGCCAACGCCCACGTTGTTCTGGAGGACTATCGGCCACACACCATCCAAGAACGCCCGCCATCAACAGTCCCTCCGATCTTCGAGGCGGCGGTGCAACACCGTCCGTTCCTCGTGCCCTTAACCTCGCATTCCGACAAGGCGGGCGATCTCCTCACGGAGCGATTGGTGGAATATTTGCAGCGCCAGGAGGACTGCCAGGTGGCCGACCTGGCCGTCAGTCTGTCCACGGCCCGCTCCATGCATGACCAGCGGTCCTATGCCATCGGCAACGATCCCACCACCATCCAGCAGAGCCTGCAGAAAGTGCCCGCCTGGACCAAGACCAGCAAGCAGGCTCCGCGACTGGGATTTGTGTTTACCGGCCAGGGTGCGCAGTGGTATGCCATGGGTCGCCAGCTGATCGAGCAATCCCCCATCTTCTTGCAGACTCTGCAGCGTGCGGACCAGGTGCTCAAGGCGCTGCCCGACGGCCCCAAGTGGTCGGTGGTGGAAGAGCTGTCGCGCACCAAGGAGGACTCCCAGCTCAGCCAAACCCACCTGTCCCAACCCATCTGCACGGCGCTGCAGTTAGCCATCCTCGCACTGCTGAAGACCTGGGGCGTCGAGCCCACGGCCGTCGTGGGCCACTCGTCCGGCGAGATGGGCGCGGCGTTTGCCGCCGGCATCCTGTCGTTCGAGAGCGCCATGTACGCGGCCTACTACCGAGGCCTGCACATGTCCAACGGAGCCGCCAAGGCCGGTCCTGATGCCATTCCGGGGGCGATGATGGCCGTCGGGCTGGGCGAGTCCGAGGCCGCGGCCGAGCTGGAGCCCTACAAGGGCCGCGCCGTCATTGCGGCCGTCAACAGTCCATCCAGTGTCACCCTCTCCGGGGACGAGGACGCCATCATCGAGGTCCAGAAGAGCCTAGAGGCCCGGAAGATCTTCGCGCGCCGGCTCCAAGTCGCGCAGGCCTTCCACTCCCACCACATGTTCCCCTTGGCGCCCGCCTATGCGAAGGCGCTGAATGAATGCGACGGTTTCGCCCCGCAACCCTCGGACAAGGCCCGCATGTTCTCCAGTGTCACGGCGCGCGTGGCCGATGCGGAGCAGATGGGGGCCGAGTACTGGACGGCCAACATGACCGGCACCGTGCGCTTCTCCGATGCGCTGGTGGGCATCCTGATCGATGATGCCGAGAACCAGAACGTCGATGTCCTGGTCGAGATCGGCCCCCATGCGGCGCTCAAGGGCCCGGCGCGCCAGGTGATGAAGAGCCTGAACCTGGATTTGCCCTACTTTGCCTCCCTCACGCGCGGCACCCCCGACTACGAGGGCATCCTGGGGCTGGCCGGGCAGCTGTTCCAGGTGGGATACCCCGTGGATTTGCTGGCCGTCAACAGCGACGCGTATCTGAGCGACTCGGGGCTCGCCTGCACGGTGCCCCGCGGCCAGCGCCGGAAGGACCTGCCGAGCTATCCGTGGGATCATTCTGAGCGGTACTGGGCTGAGACACGCCTGATCCACAACCACCGGCTGCGCGAGTATCGCCACTCGCTGCTGGGCGCCAAAATGGCCGGCTCGATCGAGAACCACGTGCGGTGGCGCAATTACCTGCGCATCCGCGAGCTGCCGTGGCTTGCCGACCATGTCATCGACGGCAAGGTGCTGTTCCCGGCAGCGGGCTACATGAGCCTTGCATTCGAGGCGGTGGCCCGCGCGCGCGATGGGCTCCAGGCCACCGATGGCTTTGCCCTGCGGAATGTCTCCATCAAGTCGGCGTTGGTGCTGGATGACTCGGACATGGGCACCGAGTTGATTGTCGACCTCCACCCCCAGGTCACCTCGGCCAAGTCGCGCTCGGATACGTGGTACGAATTTGAGATCTTCTCCTACGACAGCCGGTACCACTGCACCGAGCACTGCTCCGGCCTGGTGGCCGTCGAGGCCCTCTCCGGCACGACGGCCGCGCAGGACCGGGAGGCCCGTCTGCAGAGCAGCACCGCCTGGTCGCCGGTCAGTCGCTACTATCGCCATCTCAGCGACATCGGGCTGCAGTACGGGGACGAGTTCCGTCTGTTGAATGGCAGCATCGAGTCGGGGCCGGGCTTTGCCTGTGCCAGTCTGACCTTCAACCCGGAGAAATATGCCAGCCAGCCGGCCGATGTGACCTTCGTCCACCCCACCATCCTCGATGCCACCTTCCACACCATCTTCCCGGCCCTGGAGCTGGTGCTGGGCCGCGACCTGGACGAGGCCTACATCCCCACCTTCGTCGAGAGCTGCCACATTTACCCGGAGATGCTCACCATCAAGGATGCCCAGGGGCCGCAGGAGGTGTGGGTGGACACCACGACGGAGAAGTCGGGCTTCCGCTCGGCCATCAGTCACCTCAGCGTCGAAACCGCGGTCGGTCACCAGCCGTTACTGTCCTTCTCGGGCCTGCGGGTGACCTCGCTGGGCAGCGGCGATGATTCCAAGGACCGGTCACTGTTCTTCCGCGTCCGCTGGCAGGCCGCCTTTGACCAGCTGAGTGCCGAATCCTCGCTGGTGTCCCAGGCATCGCTGGCGGAGCTGCTTGACATGTTCGTCCACCAGCACCCGAACACCAAGATCCTCCATGTCACCGGCGGAGTGGAGGACACCGAGCAGGTGCTCCGGGCCCTGAGCGGCCCGAACAAAGAGCGACGACGCCTGAAGTCTCTGACCCCCGTCTCCGGCAACATTGTCGCATCTGGGGATGCCTGGGAACAGCTGGCGGGCCAATGGCCGGGTCTGGTCAGCCTCGAGGAGCCAGCGGAAAGCGACTACGACCTGGTCCTCATCACGGGCGCCCAGCAAAGCAGTCTCCTGCCGTTCCTGAAGGAGGGTGGCCATGTCATTGCTCCTGCCCAGGGAGAGACGGAGACCGCCCTGGAGTTGCTTTTCCAGAGCCAGGAGGCCGCGGTGTGGAAGAGGGCCACGACCCAGCCCGAGGAATCCAGCCCTAAGCCGCTGGTGATCATTCACTCCTCGCCGCCCTCCAGCCGGACCGTCGACCTGATCTCCCGACTCGCGGCCTCCATGAAGCACCGCCCAACCTCCTGTGTCGAGTTTAACGACCTTGCCAAGACCCCGCTGGGTGACGCCGATGTTGTGGTGCTCGCCAGCCTGGATGGCCCCTTGTTCATGCAGCGAGACCCGGCCGGGGAAGCCATCTTTGATGCCGCCCGGGAGCTGCTCCTGCGCCCGCACCTCAACCTCGTGTGGCTGCTCGAGGGCGCCACCGACCAAGTGGCCGAGAACCCATTGCACGCGATGATCGTGGGTCTGGCGCGTGTGGCTCGCACCGAGAACGAGGGCGCACGCATCCTGACCTTGGATCTGCCGGTCGACTACCCACCCCAATCCACCGTGCCCTTTGTCAACCAGCTGTTGGATCGTGCGATCGTGGACGAGGAATGGTCCCTCCGCGACGGGGCCCTCTATATCCCTCGCATCGAGGCGGATGATGAGCTGAACTCCAAGGTCCGCGGGGGTGTCAACTCGGGTGAGAAATTGGAGGCCTTCGGCAGCGAGCGTCCCATCCAGCTGACCATCGGCCAAGTGGGTCGCCTGGAGAGCCTGGTCTGGGAGGATGACGAGGCGATGCTAGATGAGGAGCTCGGCTCCGAGGAGATTGAGATTGCGGTCAAGGCCTCGACGGTGAATGCCCGCGATGTTGCCGCGGCCACGGGTACCATCGACGACTTCCGTCTGGGCGATGAATGCGCCGGCCTGGTGCTGCGCGTCGGCTCTCAGGTGGATCCCGCCAAATTCCAACCGGGTGACAAGGTGCTGGCCATTCGCCCCGGTCAGGGCGCTCATCGGTCGGTCGTGCGTAACCCTGCCTCGTGCTGCTTCCGTCTGGGCCCCATGCCCTTTGAGGATGCCGCCGCCCTGCCGCAGATCCTGGTGACGCCGTACTACGCCCTCGTAGAGATTGCCCGTTTGCAGGCCGGCGAGAGCGTGCTGGTGCATGCAGCGGCCAGTGGCGTGGGTCAAATGGCCGTCCAGATTGCGCAGATGGTCGGCGCCAATATCATTGCCACTGCGGGATCAGAGGCCGAACGCGACCTGTTGGTGACTCGCTACGGACTGGCTTCCACCACGATCTTCTCGTCGCGCGACATCAGCTTTGTCGCAGGGGTGCAGAAGGCGACGAGCGGACGGGGAGTGGATGTCGTCCTGAACAGCCTCTCCGGCAAGCTCCTCCACGGATCCTGGCGCTGCGTGGCGCCCTTCGGACGGTTCATTGAAATTGGGAAGCAGGATATCAATGAGAATGCCATGCTCGAGATGGCCCCCTTCCAGCGCAACGTGCTCTTCGCCTCGGTGGACCTGGTGACCTTGTACGCCACCAACCAAGCTCTGGGTGCCCGTCTGTTCCAAGAGGTCTGCGACCTGTGCCACGTCGGCAAGCTGGGCATGCCCGAAACCGTCCTGGGGGTGCCCTACTCTGAAGCCCCCAAGGCATTCCGCCTCGTGCAGAGCGAGGGCCACATCGGCCAGGTCGTGCTGAAGGCCACCGATGAGACGCAGGTGCCCATCCGGCCGCCCACTTGGAATCGGCGCGCCAACCAGTTCAGCCCTGACAAGACCTACCTGCTGGCGGGCGGTCTCGGAGGTCTGGGCCGGACGCTGGCCGAGTGGATGTTGCAGCGGAACGCGAAGAAACTTGTCTTCCTGTCGCGATCGGGCGAGACGCGCGAGGAGGCCAAGTCCACTGTTTCCTGGCTACGGGCCCATGGCATTCAAGTGACGGTCCACAAGGGCGATGTGGCCAAGATCGCCGACGTCGAGGCGTGTGTGAAAGCCATCCCCAACCTCGGGGGTGTCTTCCACGCGGCCATGGTCCTGGCCGATGCGGCACTGGAGAACATGACCTATGCGCAGTGGCATACGTGCGTCCAGCCCAAGGTGGTGGGCGCCTACAACCTCCATCGGGCCACGAAGGACCTTCCCTTGGACTTTTTCGTGGCTTTCTCCTCGGTCTCGGGCTGCTTTGGCACCAAGTCTCAGGGCAACTACGCGGCTGCTAATGCCTACATTGATGCCTTGTGCCGCCACCGCCGCCAGATCGGCTTGCCGGCCTCGACGATGAATTGCGGTCGTATCACGGGCATCGGTGTGGCGGCTGAGGCGGCCTCACTGGAGCGGTTCATGGAGCAGGAGGGCTTCGACGGGGTCAATGGACAGGAACTGTTGCAGCAGGTCGAAGAGGCCGTCTTCTCCGACCAGACGGCTACCGTCTCGTCTCGTGGCGTCGATCTGTATCAAACCGTGACGGGCGTGATTCTCACCCGCGATGATGTGTACTGGGCTCCGCACTCGCTCTTCAAGAACCTGTACCAGAACCACGACTTCGACCGCCGCTCCGGCCAGAAACCCGGCGAGGTCAGTCTCCCCGTGCTGTTCACGCAAGTCACCGACCCGGAGCAGCGGGCCGCGTTGTTGCTGGAGCGCTTTGTCGAGAAGCTGGCCGTGTCGCTCGGCGTGCCCAAGGAGTCGCCCAAGCCGGCGGATCCCATCTACGGTCTGGATTCCCTGCTGGCCGTGGACCTGCGCAACTGGTTCACCAAGACCCTGGGCGTCGATATCGCCTTGTTCGACGTGATGGGCGCGCCTTCCATCCGCTCCCTGATTGAGAAGGCTGTCAGCCTGTACAAGGACCAGGAGGTGAAGAGTGGCAAGCCGGCGCCACAGAAGGCCAGCAGTGCCTCGGCTGCCACGGGGGCCTCTGAGGGCGCCGCCACCCTGGAGATCCCCAAGGCCGACCTGGCACAGCCCCTGCCCTTGTCAACCTTCCAGAACCGCCTTTGGTTCTCCCACAGCTTTGCCCAGGACAAGTCCTTCCTCAACATCCCGGTGGTCATGCACATGCGGGGGACGCCGGACCACTCCATCTTGCGGCGGACTCTGACCGAACTCCGGGCTCGGAACCCTATCCTGCGGACGGCCTACCAGGAGGGCGATGACTTTGCTGAGCAGGCCATCATCGACCCCACGGAGGTCCTGGTCAAGTTCCGGGATGTCTCCGCCCAGGCGGACCCCCGCGAGGCCCTCCAGACCCTGGTCGCGACGTTGAAGCGCAAGGAGCTGGATATTGAAGTTGGGGAGCTGATCGATGCCACGCTCGTCAAGGTGACCCCGGAGAATTACGCGCTGGTGCTCATCATGCATCACATCTGCACCGACCGAGGCAACACTCAGCCACTGCTGACGCAGATCACGACCTTGTACGATACCCTACGCAATGGCCGCAGCCTGTCGGCCATTCCCGCGCCTAAGGTCAACTATGCCGACTTCACCCTCTGGCACAACCAGCTGCTGTCGTCCGACGCGCTGGTGCCCCATGTCGAGTACTGGCGACAGGCTCTGGCTGGCATGCCCACCGCCAGCCCATTGCTCCCTTTCGCCAAGTCCGAGCGTCCCTCGTGGGATGATTACTCGCGGGCCACCATCACGGCCCAGCTAAAGGCCACGCAGCTCAAGCGCATCAAGCGCATCTGCTCCCAGGCCAAGAGCAGTCCGTTCCAGTTCCTCTTCAGCGCCTTCCGGGCCTTCCTGTACCGCTACACCGCGGACAAGGACCTGACCATCTTGATGGTGGACGGCAATCGTCCTCATGCCGAGTTCAATGACCTGCTGGGATTCTTTGTCAACATGACCCCCATCCGCTGTCAGGATGCCTGCGAGGGCACCTTTGAGGCGCTCCTCAAGACCATGAGCGGTCGCATCCTGGAAAGCATGTCCCACAGCGTGGTGCCGTTCGACGTGATCGTCAGCGAGACCAAGGTGGCGCGCAGTGCCGGCCATTTCCCGCTGGGCCAGGTCATGGTCAACTACCAGCAGCCCGAGGGGCAGGCCGTGTACCAGGCGGGTGACTTCGCGCTGCACAAGCTGGAGGCGGAGAACATGCCGTCCGGCTGTGAGTTGAGTCTCGAGGCCCGCGAGGATTCCGACAACGTGCTGCAGCTGCAGCTCGAGTTCTCGACCACCCTGTACGGGGAGCCCGACATGCGCCGCTTCTTCGACAACTTCCAGACCTTCCTGACCTCGGTCATTAAGGACCACCGCCAGCCGATTGCGAGCGTGCCCGTCTGCGGGCCGGCGGAAATCGAGCGGTTGGGCGTGCAGTTCTGGAACCACCAATACAAGCCCCATTCGTGGGATGACACCACGATCGTCGAGCGGGTGCTGAGCGTGGCCGAGACCCGGCCGGATGCTATTGCCATGACCACGTCCGAGGGGGAGAGCATCAGCTATCGCGATCTTGTCTTCGCCGCCCGTCGCCTGGCCTTTTCACTGCAGGATGCAGGCATTCGCCATGGCCAGTATGTGGGCATCCTGGCCGATCCTGGTATTCCCCTGGTGGTCACGATGCTGGGTGCCTGGTTCAACCGCTGCGGTTACCTGCCCATGGACCCGGCCATGGCCGTGGGTCGCCTGTCCTTCATCACCGACGACTCCCAAATGGGGCTGCTGCTCTTCGACGAGGCATCCCGGGGGCTGGCCTCCCAGGTCCGCGCTCAGAGCAAATCCCCCTATGGCCTCCTGAGCATCCGCGATGCCACGGCCTCGTGCGTCCTGGCCGACGTGCGTCCCTCCCTCCGGAGTGACCCGTGCTATATGCTGTACACCTCCGTAAGTCTCTCTCCCCTACCCGTTGTTGACCCGACGAACCCTAGCCACTCACCACGATCAGGGAAGCACCGGAATTCCCAAGGGGGTGCGGCTCTCGCAGAGCAACGTCCATGAGATGCTGGCCTCCATGCAGCAGCACTTTGACTTCAGTCCCCGCGACCGGTTCCTGCACCAGATCTCGCCGTCATTCGACCTCTCCGTGGTGGAGCTCTGGTCCTCCCTGACGGCTGGAGCCCGGCTCTGCATTGCCACCAAAGCCACCCGGCGGAACCCCGTCCTGCTGGGGGAGTACATGCGCCAGGAATCCGTGACGGTCACCTACTTCACCCCCACTCAATTTGCGCTGGTTCTCGAGCATAACGGTGACGCCGTGGCCGCCTGCCCCGAGTACCGCATCGCGCTGCTGTGTGGCGAGCGGTTGCCTGCCCGCTTGGCCATCGCCTTCCAACGCCTGGGCACGCCAGCCACCCTCTACAACTGCTGGGGACCCACCGAGGCGGTGGTGCAGACCACCATCCACGCCGTCCAGGGCACCGTCGATGACCAGCTCAACATCCCCATCGGCTTTGCCCTCGGCAACTGCCGTCATTACATTGTCGACGAGTGCCTGAACCCCCTGGCCCCCGGCTTCATCGGCGAGCTCTGCATTGGCGGGCCCCAGGTGGCCCGGGGTTACTGGAACCGACCGGAGGTGAACCGCAAGCAGTTCATCCGCAACCCCTTCTGCAGCCCGGATGACGAGGACCGTGGATGGACGATGCTCTTCCGCACCGGGGACCGCGCCCGCTTCCTGCCGGATGGCCAGCTGGAGTTCTTGGGACGGATCTCCGGCGACAAGCAAGTGAAGCTGCGCGGCTTCCGCATCGATCTCGGCGAGGTGGAACATGTCATGCATCGGGAATCCTTCACCACGGATGGCCAGGGGATCGTCGACCTGGCAGTGGTAGCCCGCTCCGTGGAGGACGACCCGAACTCGCTCACGGACGATCGGCAGCTGATTGCCTTTGTCGTGCCCAAGAAGCCCCTGCAGACGGCGGCCGAAAAGAAGGAATACGCCTTGCTCCTGCAGGCCCGCGCCAAGTTCTCGCTGAACGAATACATGTTGCCCAATGCTTACCAGTTCCTCGACGCCCTGCCCACCACCACCAGCGGCAAGACCGACCGGCGCGGGCTGCTCTCCTGCCCGGTCGAGCTGACACACCCGATTCAAGGACCTGTCAGTCAGTCTTCTTCTGACCCGGCTGCGTCTCAGCCGGACGCGAACTCGGCGCCCAAGGAAGCCCGTCCGGATACGCTTGCGGCGGTCAGCCGAGCCTGGCAGGCCGTCTTGAAGCTGGACGGGCCTCCGGAACCCACCGGCAACTTCTTCGAGATGGGCGGCCAAAGTCTTCTGTTCCTCCGTCTCCAGGGCAAGCTAAAGAAGGAGTTCAAGGTGGCTCTCAGTCTGCAGGACATGATCCAGAACCCGACGCCCAAGCATGTGGCCGAGCTGGTGGACCGACACCTGGGAGGAAGTTCTAGCCCCAGCACCGGCACCAACACCAATGCGCCGACGGAGAACACCGAGAAGATGGTCATCCGGAGCCAAGAGGTCGAACGGGTTGACTGGGTGGCCGAGACGACCCTTCCCATGGACTGTCGCTTCCACCCCTCCGAGGCCAACCCCCCGGCGGCCGTGACCAATATTCTCCTGACCGGGGCGGATGGCTTCACGGGCATCCATCTGCTGGCCAATCTCCTCACCCAGCGGCCGGGCGTCACCGTCTACGTGCTGGGCAGCTACGCGCCGCTCGATCACGGAAAGATCTTCCAGAAGCTGATGGAATTCAAGCTCGTGAACGGAACCCTCACGCCGGAGCGCATCCTCACCGGCATCCAAGTCGTGCCCGGATTCCTGGCCCACCAATCGCACTTTGGCCTGTCGACGGTGGACTTCAAGACCCTGGCCACCTCGATCCACGCCGTCTACCATCTGCTGTCGGAGGTGTCCCTGCTCAAGACCTACCGGGACCTCAAGCACATCAACACGACCTCCACCCTGACCCTCATCGAGCTGGCCAACCTCGGCGGCCAGGGCAGTCGCATCCACTACCTCTCCACCTGGAGTGTACCCCATCTGCAATCCTGGGAGCAGTCGCACCGCAACCTCTCCGGCATCCAGATCAACGAGATGAGCCCCATCCACTTCTCCCCGCCCGCGACCGTCGACAACGGCTACTTCAAGACCCGCTGGGCCACCGAGATGCTCCTCACGCGGGCCGCGGCGCGTGGCTTCCCCGTCACCATCTACCGCTCGTCCGCCATCTCCGGCAACACGGTCACTGGTGTGGCTTCGTCCGACCAAGACATCGTGCGCGGCATGGTGATGGACATGGTGCGCCACGGCGTCGTGCCCCAGGCCGGCACCGCCTCCGAACCCTTCGTGATCGACTTCATCCCCGTCAACTATCTCTCCGAAGCGCTGGGGCACTTGACCCTCTCTCAAGACACGGGCCGGCAATCCGGACTGGAGGTCCTCCACATCACCAACCCTCAACCCCTGCCGCTCGAGCAACTTCCCCAACTGACCAGGGCCGTCCGCGGCGACAACCAGACCGGCCGCTCCGTGAGCATCGCCGAGTGGCTCGCAGCCCTAGAAGAAGCCGCCGGCGAAGACGAGCAACTACGACTCGAGACCCTGCGCGACTACTTCCTCAACGGACACAACATGTTTGCCCTGGACAGCCGCAAAGCGACGGCACTATTGGCGGAGGTGAAGGATCTGGTGGCATGTCCGCCGGTGGATGCGAAGTACCTGCGGGACTTGTGGACGGGGACGGCTTAGATGTAACTAACGATATGATGGATGATGTTGGAACTGTTACTGTAGCCCGCTGATCAGGGCATGGCTTTCTGTCATAGAATGCGTGTCATTTTTTTTTCTGCTTGCGATGGAATCTAATACGAATGGCTTGATCATATGAAATTGTAGTATCTGTTGGAGAGTCGTATATTCTACATCAATATCATTATGTTATCATGAGCACTGGATGCCGTAGCACTTCATGAGGATGTGGTGATAGTCTTGCAGGGCTACCCCAAGCTAGAGTGAACAGCGTAGCAGCCGCGGAAGTCCCTTGTCTTTGTTTCACCCGCTTTCATCTCCCGAGGTTTCATTCCGTGGGTTCCGCATTGTAGCCATCAACGGTTCAATCGGAAAACCACTTCAGCGGCGGCTGGCTGAGCTACCATATCTAGCGTCCCATGGCACTGCAATCATGGTGCACGCCTGTCTCCTTTGCCGTGGCCTGGTCCGAGACAAAGACTGGGACATCCGAGCCCGGATTGCAACCCTGATCCATCCCCACGGACCAAATGCGGAAAGCGGCTGGAGCCCATGGATCTGACCTGACGACATGACTTGCACCGAATCTTAAACTCAAGTAAGCATCCTGTCTAAGGGCTGACAACCGCCCTCCCCGCGAAGCTTGTCTGAACCCTTTTTCCACCCTCCGGAGAACAGCCTGACTGGCGAGTGGCCTCCGCGGATATTTCTTCGAGTCTAGACATGACCAGATGTGACCTTCATCAGCGATGACGGGCTTGAGTCGGAGTCTGAGCCCGGGTTCTGTTGCGTCCCCGGCTTTCCATCGCCTGCGCAGGCAGGATGCTCTACGCAAAGGGTGGTTTCCCGTGGCGTCGTGCTGCGTCATCGAGCTCTATACCGTCAGCGACCCCATGGTGGAGTGAGTTCGCCAGGATACCTATATAGAAGCCGGGGAAAGATGCCATTTCGATTCCCAGTGTCATCGCTCTCCGACCAATGCATTTCAACATGCCATCTCATCTGCGGTCTGTCGCCCTCGTCTCGCTCTTTTTGGGCTCAGCGGTCTCCTCGCCGTTTGTCTACCACCGTCGCCCGCAGTTGCAGCAGTATCTGGGCCCCGAAGCGAACCAGAACCCGTCCGAACCGACCGAGCCGTATGACTACGTGGTGGTGGGCGGCGGCGTGACCGGCCTCATCGCGGCGGCCCGGCTGGCCGACGCGTCCTACAGTGTGGCTGTCGTCGAAAAGGGCGGATACTATGAGCAGATGACGGGCAATTTGAGTGAGGTGCCGGGATATACCGAGCTGTTTGATAACAGCAAGACTCCTCCCCGGGATGAGGTGGAGCACTGGTGGGAGGTGGCTGGCACGCCGGTAAGCGTTGCCCTGAACTCGGGGCCATTCGATCACTAACGCGGGGCCAGGAAACCAACAACCGCAAGTTGAACTTTACCGGCGGCAAGATGGTGAGTCCATCACCCTGTGGGTGGCATCATGGCTGATCATGCCTTTCTAGATCGGTGGCAGCCATGCCTTCTCGTACTTTGGCTACCTGCACCCGACCGTCGGTGCCATGCAGAAATGGGCCGACGATGTGGGCGATGAATCGTGGACCTATCCCAACACCCGCAAGTTCTTCGACCAATCCATGTTCTTCACGCCTCCCAATGACACCACGCGGTGGGCCAATGCCACGCCCGAGTATGACCCCAGCTACCAGGGCAGCGGCCCCTTGGAGATCACCTACCCGCGGTGGGCACAGCCCTTCAGCACCTGGCTCGTCCGCGCCTTCGATGCCCTGGGGGTGACTCATACCTTGAGCTATGCCACGGGCGAGCTCTTCGGCTCGAGTTGGATCCTGGACACAATCAACAGCACCGATGGCACCCGGTCCACCACCTGGACGGCCTACGTCAAGAATGCGCCACCCAAAAAGAAGCTCGATGTGTATACCTTTTCCCTCGCGGACAAGATCCGCTTTGACGGGAAGACGGCGACGGGAGTCGATGTGACTCGGAATTTACCGGATGAGCCCGAGGAAAAGTTCACCATCCAGGCCAAGAACGAGGTGGTCCTGGCCGGCGGAGGCATTCTCTCCCCGCAGCTGCTGCTGGTCTCGGGCGTCGGACCCGCTGCAACGCTGGCCGAATGGGATATCCCGGTGGTGCTGGACAAGCCGGGGGTGGGACAGAACATGCATGATCATATCGTCTTTGGCGTTACCTACCGCGTCAATATCCCCACCTCGTCCATCCTTCTGGATCAGGACACTCGGTGGCAACATGAGGATTTGTTCAAAGAGAATGTCACCGGCATGCTGGTCAACCCGGGTCCGGATTACGGTGCCATCGTGGATATTCCCAGCGATCTCCGGAATTTCAGCGCGGAAGTCAAGCAGGGTATGTCTTCGCTTTGTCTTTGTCCGAGTCCGTCATGACGTCTAACCACTTCTTCCACAGATCTGGCTGCCTTGCCTAAGGACTGGCCCGAGCTCATCATCGTCGGGTTCCCCCTCGGCCACGACTGGCCCAACGATGGCAACTATGCCACGCTCATGGGGATCCCCATGACCGCCAAGTCCACGGGCCACATTGAGCTCCAGTCCGCCGACATGGCCGATAAGCCCAAGATAGTCCCGAAGTGGCTCACGAGCCGCACCGACCTGGAAGTCTCCGTCGCGTCGCTGAAGTATATGCGTCGGGTGTTCGAGAACCCAGCCCTCTCCGAGATCCTCGCGAGCGATGAGATCTCCCCCGGCACGGAGGCCGTCACCTGGGACGAGTTGGAAGATGCCCTGAAGAGCGGATACCGCTCCATGCATCATCCCGCGGCGACCCTGCGGATGGGTCGGGCGGATGACCCCGACGCGGTGACGGATAGCACGGGCAAGATTATGGGATTGGATAATGGTAATGCCCCTTCTCCTGGATATCGACCACATCGGCTAACCTAGGTCTTTCAGTGCGAGTCGTTGATCCTTCGGCCTTCCCGTTCCTGCCGCCTGGTTTGCCCCTGGCTCCTGCTTGTAGGTTTTCCCTTTTGGCCAGAGAAGAGATCGTACTGACGGAAGCAGTCATGTTCGCGGAGAAGATCACCGATAACATCATCAACGACCAGAAGAAGAAGGGTCGTCATGGTAAGCATCGCACGGATCTTTAAATAGGAGCTGAAGACAGGTGAGGTGAAGAAGGGGCATGATGGACCTGGCTACTGTTGGAAGGCCGCTGGATCGTGGAAGCGCGGACCAGCAGGCCATTCACTAGCGGTCTATTGGCGAGTCATGTGGCTTTTCTGATTTGTAGGTTTCCTCTTCTGGGTCCTAAGGGAGACAATAGGTCCCAGTGTACCAGATGGACCTCAGATAATATTTAATAAATGCAATCATTCCTCATGCCAGGAGAATACTCCCGGTTTCAATCAAAGCTCTTGATGTCTTCTAGGCTGGAATCTGGTTCCCTGTCGTAGAGGCAGGGTATAGTTCCTAGACAAGGGAATGTAAGAGGAAAAGGGCATGGGCTGTGGGACGCTTGCTCTTATCGTGAGTGTTACTGTTAATCTGCATCACTAAAGGCCGCCTATCCCCTGATTCACCACTCTATTGGGTGTTGTTGTCGTGATCTGCTGAAGTGAACACCTCATCAGTCGCAGGTTCGCAGTGATCATATAGGATGCAAGTGGCTTCTCGCCTCGGGGGCCATGGTGGCAGGTAATTTTACTGGTAGAAAGTGGTGGGGAAGATCGGTGGTGTTGGCGGTCGTATGTCGATAGCTGCAAAGAAGACAGGAAGGTCTAGCTATCCTTCTCTTCGACGCCGCATGGACGGATGGGGAGACAGGCCACCGAGTGAATGGTAGTATTGACTACCCAGGGTAACAGTATGAAACATGACCAGTGGTTGACTCAATACGGAGTACTCCGTATGGTGAATACCGATTCATTTAGTGTGGCGACATGGGACTGTGTGTAACTACCCTCATATATATAGCACTCACCCCTTTCCCTGTCCCCATTCCATTCCTCGCTCCACTCTAAGACACTTGTCAAGTCTCTCTGACTTACCTCCAGCGAGATGCCCGAAACAGTTGCATCTTCATCTCGCGAGCTGGAACTCAAATCTTTCCATGATTGCAATGGTGATCGTCCGTCACAAACCCTCATCTTCCACGACGACTTCTCGTCATGGTATTGCAGAAGACCCGGGAAGAATTATATACCCGATGCTGGACCAAGCCCAAGATCTACTTACCTTTGAGGCTAGTCATCTAGAGCAGGTTGAGGTCATCGCTCCACCCGTCGCCATAGGCCGTTTTGAGGGAAAATATTTCGCATACAAGACAATTGACCGCCCTATCTATGATCCAGGAGACACGGAACATATCTTGAACGAAATTACGGCCCTCACACAATTTCGGGGACAGCCGAACATCGCACAACTGATTGGGGTTGTCATCTCTGGGTCTCTGGAACGAGTTCTCGCAGAGGATAGATATCAGGATGATTCATTGCTACGACGATGGGCACTACAGCTTGGGAGAGCATTGGAAACATTGCACTCACAGAGACGGACTCATCTTGACATCAAACCACCCAATATCGTTTTGGACGCGAATAGGAATGCCATCCTTATCGATATCAGCGGAACGGGAGGGTACGGATGGGAATGGCTCTCGCCCGAGATGCAAGAGATCCTTCAACAAAACGCTGCAACAGCTCCTGCTAGCACGTCACTTGACCACCGCGTTGCGACAGATTGTTGGGCCTATGGGAAACTGCTTTACACCATGGCCAAGAAAGCTGCAACCAGTACTCTCGGCAAAAGGTTACAGGACATCGGCGATGACCTCACGAAGGCGGATCCAAAAGCTCGCATTTCACTAAGCGAAGCCCTCGGAAGAATATCAGGCTGGGAGTAATATCGCTGGCTTCTTGATGATTACATGGTCCTGATTCTGCAATCTACGCGCGCCAAAAGGGCCCGCCGATGGAACCTGGATTGCCCTCGCATATCGAGACTTTCTTAATTTTCCTGGCCGCTTGATAATCAAAAAGCGGTGATTGGGTTTATTCTTTATTGTGGAAAGGGTAGCTTCGAAATTTCCTTCCAGTCGTGATGTTTGAACTGTCCATAGCTTAGGGTATCCTATAGTTAAGTGTATGGTCAAATAAGCATTATCTCAATTGATGTAGAGTTCGCAGACGAAACCGATAGGCACCTATAATCACCGGATCTTGTGTAGTTAGCTACATGCAGTTGCAGAATGTTTTGTCTATCTCCTCTTGACACATATAGAATGCACTTTCTCGACAGCAATGCTACTCTCTCGAGATACCCATATGTGTACTCGCAAATTAGAACAGAAAAAAGTAAGCATACATTCCGGTTCATTCGTCCTTGGCATATTGTTTATAGCGCTGACGAAGTAAATATGACCCAAACATGGACGCTCTATTCTTTGTACCAAGTCACAGGTATCTTTATCAGCACCAGTCTCAAGACTTGGGGCTGGGACCAGGGCCTGGTTGTCATTATCATTCACAGACGGCTTCTAGCATCTAAGGATTCTCAGAGTTACTTATCAATATGCTTAAAAGGGGGCGTGTAAGGAGAACAGAATATTGAACGATTATGACCAATCATTAATGGAAGTTGTGCTTCCAATATATACACAACAAAATTGAGAGACAAGAACCATTTTTAGGTCCTCTAACCAACATCCCCCAACGTGAATGACCTGCCACTTCCACTCGGCTCATCCAGGCAGCACATCATAAAATTTCTCCCGGCTTATTCGAAGTAGGATCTAGCAGACTCCAACGGCCCTACATCGGAACACCATTTGAGCCACAGCGGTTGCCATTGTCGCAGAGGATGCAGCAGCGCTTCGTAATCCAGATCTCCTACATTGAAGAAACATTAGCAGTCACTCAGTCAGACTAGCACTAGTCGTTGGAAGACGTACATCGCCGATTTGCTCAACGGTCCCATCCACAACAGCACCATCAGCCACCGGGGCAGCAATAACAGCAGGCATAACGGCCGAGAGGCAGAGAACAATGATAGAGAAACGCATGATGAGAGTGATTTGCTGGAATGAGTCTGTTTCTGTTGATGAAGAACAAACTCATTACCGTCTACACACCATCTTTATACCTCTGATATTGACCATCACTCGACAACAACTAAGACACAGTGCCCTTGGCATGTCTCGGACTCGTTGACTACCGATGATGGTCTCACCGGCTGTGGGTACTTTTAATCTAATCTCCCAATCAATGAAGCTTAACCGAGTCGAGCTGCCGATCAGATAAGATAAACCTGGCGAGATGGCCGGCTTGGCAGCGTCCTTTGCCCGAATTAAATCCCGCATTGTCGTTGTACTACCTGTGGCATCCTTCTGCCCGTCCTTTGCCAATTTTTTCCTTTCACTTTTTACCTTGGACCAAGTATTAATTTAAAACCTACAGCTCCAGTCTCGGATGGTTTTGTTGAAGTGGCACGAGATCATTCATAGGTCCTCGGTACTCGATTTCGAAACGATTCTGTAAGTATCTGCCCCACGCATTCCCGGAGCATTCAGACGCGGATATTACGCAAAAGATTTTCATCTTGGCAGGACCCTGTTCCCATTGCATATAAATTGTGACACCTGTAATGGAGACTGCATAGCGAGGATTTGCACTGAGCATGTGGACTCGGAACGGACAGAGGCCGAATCAACTACATCATATGTTTATGCCTATGATTCCCGATATTCTTCAGTGAGTAGCATTCTTGACAATGGTGCACTTGGCTGAAAGAGCATGTCCCCAGTCTGCCGGGCATTTTTGGGATAATCTGCCAGTTCGTCCATCGCTTTACAAGTAAAGAAGTGTCTTGGGCAAATGCTTGAGTCACCCTCAGTCAATTGGGCCGCTAATGTCTGGAAATAGAACAATTCTGGCTTGTTCCGTTAGTCTACTCCCAACTTTTCGCCCAGACACCGCGATAATGGTCTTTTCTTACACCCGTGGCCAACCGTTCAATCTCTCCCACCGACAACTTTTTCAAGAATGACGACCGCTTCGTCAATCGCTGAACATGTAACTCCAGGATACGGCCAACTCGTAGCCGACCGAGGCATTTTACGCGTCCAATGCATCAATATGAGGGCCAGAAAGTCCGCTGCGGTGAGTTTCGTCCCAATCAAATAGCAATCCGGCATTGCATGATCGGATGCTTGTAAGCGAGTATTCAGCAAGTCCCACGCAATCTCGATCCGGCGTCAAGCCAAATCGAGCACCGCCGCTGCCCCGTCCGCCGAACCGTCGCTGTCAGAATCAATCGCGCATGGCGGGGAGAAGGGTAGTGGCCAGGTGAATCGTCGTTTTCTGCCATCGGCCACGGTCAGGGTTGTCGACCGCTGGCATTAACGCGCGGTCGTGGTGGCGCTCTACCAGGAGCATCAGTAGGGCAGTTGACTCGCTGTGAGCCTCTCCATTGATAAGCAGGGTGGGGGACGCGTCGGGTGGAGTTAGCTGGCGATATTGGGCAGTGTGTTGTGCTCCTGCTGCAAGGTCGGCGGGCACTACTTTGAAGGGGAGATTGGCCTCAATTAGCAGCCAGTGAAGGGCGAGGCTGGCCGTCCGGAGGCGTAGTAGAGGGTATATGGTTGGTCCATTTGGATGGTGTTCCCTTCAGATAAGAGGTGTCGGGATACGGTGTAGGGAGCTCGTTTGGAGCCATACCTAGCAAGCTATGTTGGGGATTTGATATATGAGGTTCATTGTCACTGATGTTGCTGTGTACACTGTTGAGTAGATAAATATATTGATGCCACAACTAGCACTATCCTCGGGTTGAAACCTGCTTGCTAGCTAGTTGGGATATAAGTTATTGCTGGGTATCATCAAGTACATACGACCATAGGGTGTGGAGAACAGGGCTTCCC